TATTGTTAGGAGTGATGGTGCTAAAAATTACTTAGTGAGAACAATTAAATTGCATAAAAGGGGGACAAGATTTATGTCAGATGGCAATTTATGTTCAGCCTTAGCACCACTGTTTTTAACAGCTTTGGTGGATGACAATAGATATATATCAAAATCCTGTACAATAAAAAGGATTTGATGCATAAATGCCTCAATTGTAAGGCCCTTTTATCTCTTAGTCAAAAATTTCAAGAAATGCCTGAAAATAACCAATATTGTTTAAGGAAAATCCAAAGGCTAAATAAAAGTTACATAAAAATGGTTTATATATTCAGGGTCTTCTTTATGGATTAATTTTTCTTCATCCCTTACACAATCAACCTCAAGCACTAGTTCAGTTAAAAATAAATGAAGAATGTGTCTGATGACAAGAATGCCCCCCACTCAAGCTTGCTTATAATATGTGTAAATACTTTTTGAGAGCATTTGATGTCACTGCTAGTTTTTAAGAGTTCTATTGTTCTAGTCTTAGGTATTTTTGTGCTGTGTGTTATTTTCATACTTTTACTGTTTTTTTTTTTATTTCTTATGTGATAAATTCTGCTGTGTCCATGGTATTTCTCAGTTCTAGATTAATGCTTTGGTCTTTTCTAATCTTATCTAATCTTTTTTTTTTTATCTTCACTTGTTTATTTGGTAAACTAAGCATTTGTGACCTTAATAGTAGTTAAGTGAAGATCACACTTTTTGTCCTCAGGTTTAGTTTTATGCTTTATGATATTATTAAGGTTGTTATTTATCTAATACATAAAAGCTATTTCATTGAAACAAAATATTCATGATATGATGGTCCAATGAAGAAGTCCCAAATTAAGCAGTGTATTGTGGTTGCAGTGAGAAAACAAGATCTATCATTGTTCCTGATATAGGTTGTAGCAGGGACTTTCTATACTATAAAGTATAGAAAGTCCCTGGTTGTAGGTTTTGAAATCAATTTTAACTGTTCATATTTCTTAACACTAAAATTTTGGCATAACTGTTTTTTTGTTGTTTTGTATATGTGTCTGCATATCTATTTTGTGATTTTTGTTTAAAATGTAGAACCTAGGTATTGTCACAATATGATACATGTGATTTGAGACTAATCTATGTTTTAAGACATGGAATATATATATTTTTATTGTATGTTTTAATTTGTATCAATGAAGCATATAGTTTAATTTTCTGTAATTTTTATGAAAGTCCTAATATATATGAAACAGTAGCAAAACTAATGGGTAATGATATAGTCTGAAACATATTCATAAGTGTGGCAAATAAGTTTCATAATCTAATTAAGTAAAATTATAATACCGGGTAATTACATTGATAATATTTTTCTAGAAATATTGTACTATTGTCATTTGAATATTTTATAACAAACTTAGCTCACACACCTTACTAGAATTTTATGAATGAAATGTACTGACATGTGCAGTAGAATCCATGTGTCTCTTAGGATGACTTTTCAATAAAAACACCATTTGTGCGTTTCATAAACTGTTTTCACATGATCTTTGTAATTCCTTATGGTATTTGTGAACATCATCTTCAATATTTGGAGATGTTAAAAATCACTATCCGTGATATTGATCATTTTGATCCGCCGATGACACACATAGCTTTTTGCAATTGTTTATGTATCCTGTGGAGTTGTATTTTTAGTAACCATAGAAATTTGTTAGGAACATGTAAAATATTTTTATTATATAGCTGTCAATAAAATTGTATATAATTATAATTTGTGTAATGTAATTAAGAATTCTAATATTAAGTTTGACAGCAAGCACACAATCCAACAATTTTTCAACTTTGCAAACATTCCAACATTGGTGTAATTTGCAGCTAGTTGGGTAGTTCTGCTAAAATCTTTGATCATTAAAGTTATAATTTTATTTTGCTCCTCACTAATCTTAGTAAAATTTGTCAATTTTTCTTAAAAACTTTATTTTTTGGGGGTTAAATTGTAAAGGAAAATTGTAAATTTAGTGCTTTCTAAGTAACGAAGAAATATTTCAATTTTAGCAGACTCTTAGGAGCTGAATTCCTATCTTTTGGATCTTTTACTTTAAGTATTTTATTCCTTTGTAAAATTTAGAGAAGTTCTTAAAATTGTTTCAAAATATCTTTTGAGTTAATTATCACATTATTGCCGGCAAAGCTTTATTTCAAGTTTATCTTTTAAAGTTAGGATTATCTTATTACTTAGATTGTTTGTTGTTAATTCTGAATAATTCAAATATCTCTAAATGAATAAAAAATAGAAACTCAAATATAATACTTTTAACAATTGCCTATACTGACCAGATCATATCTTATCATACTGACTATAGCTAGTAACCTACAAGTTAAGTATCCTATCTGTGCAATAGAATTGATTCATCGAAATTGACTTAAAACTTTGGTCAAGCATTTCAAGCCCTCGCCACTACATTATATTTGATACTGATTGTAATTCATGAGCGCCTCATGGAAGATTAGTTGTATAGGTAACTGTGTAACCCTCTTTAAAAAAATAATTATTGACTATATCCTTAGTGTTTAATTAATACATTATTGAAAAGCACTTTATGCCAAAATGGACCAATGGCTGAACAAACAAATAAAAAAAAATGTCATTAAAGGGCAATAGCTCCAATAAAAAGTCGACTGACAATTTCAGCCATAATAGACTTATTTGTAGATCCTGTCTTGAAAACATTTCACACATTTCTGCCCCCATCAGATTTTTTTCTTTCCATAGTGGTTTTCAAGATAAAAGACAAAATTTACATTTTATTCCTATTTTCTTTCTTTAGCCTTGTCAGTCATGTTGCTTGGCAGTAGGGGTTATGGGACACATTCTTTTAACTTGATACCACATTGATGATGGTAGCCAAGTTTGGCTCAGTAGTTTCAGAGGAGACGATTTTTGTAAATGTTAATGGACGTAGACAACACACACCAAATGAAGAGAATAACTCAATTGGCCCTTTGAGCCAGGTGAGCTAAAAAAATGCCTTACAATTGACTACCTATGAACATCATAAAAATGTAATAAGTTATCATTAATGTGCAAAGATCAATTCACTTTTCCAAGAAGAGGTTTTTTCATTTGAATTACGGGTAAGACTTGACAAATATGTTTTCCTTAAAAAATCAAAGATCAATTACTACTTTTATTTAACCAGTACTGGGATTGAATCAACATTATTATCATAACATTCTTAATGTCTCTTAATAATCTTACTTTAATCCACCTCTGTAGTGCACAAGGTATGGACATAGATCAGTTCGCCTTTCCACTCACTTGGTTTCGGGTAAGACTTGACATATATATAGTTTTCCTTCACATTTTAATTACTCAATTACTACTTAAACTTAACAAGTAATAAAATTGCTTCAAACTTGTTATAATATCATTTTAAATGAAACTTTATACTCTGCTACTTTAATCTATGTCTGTTGTGCATAGAGAGGTGATAAAAAATAAATGTGGATAGTGTCCACATGTGGACACAGATGATGCCCCTGCTTGCATATCATATACTTATAAAGGGACATAACTGAAGAACGGTAAAAGTGATGCTACCCAAATTTGACCTTGATCTGAGTTTTGTGGTAATAAGCATTGTGTGTAAGTCTCATAATATTTGGTTGAGGCTAACTTAAGTAGAGAACAGAAACTAAAAATTCAGCAATTTTTCTATTTGTAAACACGCATAACTCTAGAACGGTTGTGTATAAGTTTTATAACATTTGGTTGAGACAAACTAAAGTTAGAGAACGGAAACGAAAAATTCAGCAATTTTTATGTTTATAAAGGGACATTACTTAATCTGTATTATGTAGGAATAAGCATTGTGTATAAGTTTCATAACATTTGGTTGAGGCAAACTAAAGTTAGAAAACAGAAACAAAAAAATTGTACTTGATCTTAGTTTTGTGGTAATGAATATTGTGTATAGGTTTCATAATGTTTGGTTGGGGCAAACTTAAGTTACAGAATGGAAACTAAAAATTTTGCAATCTTTCGATTTATAAAGGGGCATAACTCAAAAATGGTTAAAGTGACACTACCCAAATTCAACTTGATCTGTGTTTTATCAGTGGAAGTCAAAATTAAACATTGCATTGTATAAAGCATTGATTGTAGTTGATTCAACTATAATTATGGACAAAGGAAGATAACTCCAATTTTCAAAATTACTTGATATTTAGAAGAAAATAAAAATTTTGCAATTTTTCCATTTCTAAAGGGGCATAACTCTAGAACAGTAAAAGTGAGGCCACCAAAATTCAAACTTGATCTGTTTTTTGTGGTAATAAGCATTGTGTATAAGTTTCATAACATTTGGTTGAGGCAAACTTAAGTTAGAGAATGGAAACGATAAATTCAGCAATTTTCCATTTGTAAAGGGGCATAACTCTAGAAAGGTAAAAGTGACGCCACCAAAATTCAAACTTGATCTGTGTTTTGTGGTAATGAGCATTGTGTATAAGTTTCATAATATTTGGTAGAGGCAAACTAAAGTTAGAGAACGGAAACCAATTTTGGGACGTATGTTCGTATGTACATACAGACGGACAAGGGTAAAACTTAATGCCCCCTCCGCTACGGCGGGGGCATAAAAACATGCTACATTTTACCCAGAGCAGCCTAAACTGCAACCAAATAACGAATTGTTATTTTTCATGAAATATTCTTTGTTTTTTTCACATGTTGAGGAACAGCTCATCACAATAGTGTGCATTTATCATTATACCTAATGTAGAATTTAGGGTAAACTTATTGTTTCTTAAATTATTTCAATGATTTCATTTTAATATCTTCAAACATCATTCTCTGAAAATCTTGTATAACTAAATACCTACCACAACAAAGGATGCTTGCTTGTAAAATAATATTTAATTTTGAATAAATCCAACCTCAGGAAATTTAGTTAAACTGATCCCTTTCTCCAGAAATCTTATTTGATGAATTGCAATAATTTTTCACCAACCTCAAGAAATCCTGTTTGATTATCAGTGACATGGTTCAATGGTATATAAACACTGTCTGTCTTCTGGTCGACTATCATACCATGACGATGACTGAATGTTCCTCGACCTACATCCTGCCCACTTATTCTTACATTAAAACCTGTATGGAAACAAAAATACATCATAGTTACCTACATCTTGTCCACTTATTCTTACATTAAAACCTGTATGGAAACAAAATTACATCATAGTTACCTAAATTGCTCTACATCCTGTACACTTATTCTAAAATTAAAACCTGTATGGAAACAAAAACTATTAAAGTTGGTTTCCAAGTCGACTTAATATTCCTTGGCATTTATTGAAAACTAGTTAGCTCATTTGGTAGAATAGTAACTTACTCTCCAAGGAGTCCTAAATTCAGAGTTACAGCGCATATTTTGAAACAAACAAAAAACTACTGTAACATATTTTATTTTTAAACTAGAAGCTATAAAGAGCTTGTGTCTCTCACCTTATAGTTTTCAAGATAATAGGCAAAACATGGTAAAAATCATCATTTAAGGGCAATAAATCTTATATGGAGTTGACTGATGATTTGGTTCATGTAAACTTATTTATGGATCCTGTCTTGCTGATAATTTTTGCTATTAAGATTTCTATCTATCTATCTATCTAATATTGTTTACAAGATGTCAGGTAAAATTGCAAAAAACATTGGTAAAAATCCTCATTAAAGGGCAAAAACTGCTATAAAGAGACTACCAGCCATTTCCACATTATCAACTTATTTGCAGATCTTGTCTTTCTGACAATTTTTGCTTTTTAAAGTTTCAATTTTTCTATTATAGTTTTCAACCTTCTAGGCAATAGGCAGTACGGTGACATACAGTTGTAAATTTCTATATCATTTGGTCTCGTGTGGAGAGTTGTCTCATTGGCAATCATACCACGTCTTCTTATTTTTATAAAAACACATAAAATTGGTAAAAATCATCATGAAAGGGCCATAAATCCGATAAGAAGTCAACTGATGATTTTGGCCATGTTGACTTATCTATAGATCTTGTCTTGTTGATCATCTTTGCTTCTAAAGTTTCTATCTATCTATTATAGTTTAAAACATAATGAACAAAAAACAAAAAATGGGAGGGGAAAAAAAATCGTCATTAAGGAGCAATAACTCCAATAAGAAGATGACTGACTATTCCCACTAAGTTGTCTTAAGATGCGTTTACATGATACGTTTTTCAATCTGATTTTCCATCCGATTTGATACTGTCGCCAAGGTACATCGTACAGCGTCCTGTTCACATGATTTTCCATTCGATTAACCAAACGATGTTCTATTTTAGTGTTCACATGGTGTGATTTTGTTGAAACAACATTATAGGTAAAAAATCTGATTGAAATTGGATAGAGAATCGTGTTGTGTAAACGCACCTTTATTTGTCTTGTTGATCATTTAATTTTAGCTCTCAAAGTTTCTCTCTATATATTATAGTTTTCATATTAAAAGGCAAACATTAAAAAAAAAATTGGAAAAATTCATCATTTAAGGACAATAACTCCTGTAAGAAGTTGTCTGCCAGTTATGATGTAATATGACAGAAAGTAGATTTCATGATTGTTAACATTTCAGCCCCTGTCCGATTGTCTCTATCTATAGAGATTTTCAAGATAATAGACATAATTTGCATTTTACATCTTTGTTCTATTTTTATCTATGTCGGCCCTGTTGGTTGGCAGGTAGGGCCTTTGGTCCAAGTGATCTAATAAAAAGTATCTTTAAAAAACAAACAAACAATAACTAAAGCTTCAGTAGTAAAGTTTAAGTCTAAATATCTTGATACAATAAAGAACCAATACATAGAGCTTCAGTTGTTGCCCAACCTAAGTCTACCTTGATACAACACAGAATCCATAGCTATAGATACACACATTGCCCAGTCTTGATCTACTCTATACCTTGATACAATAAAGAACCAATAGCTAAAGCTTCAACCTATAGATACACATACTGCCCAGTCTTAATCTACTCTATACCTTGATACAATAAAGAACCAATAGCTAAAGCTTCAGCTGTAGCCCAGTCTAAGTCTCCTCCATCTTGTATCTTCTGTAATCGTCTGTCTAAGTGGGTCTTCTGTATAGTTGGGTGTACATTCTATAAAGGATAGTTTGAGTTAGTGGGAAAAGTATCCAAATCAAATCTGGAATATTTAGTTTTGGTATTTCAAGAATCAACAATAGTTTTATCTTAAAGCTGTTCATTTTATTAACTACAATGATCTTTGGATAAAGATATAATATATTGCAGTAAAATATTTATCTTATTTAAATTTGCAGCTTTTTTAATGGAATATACTGTTAATTTGGAAATCATTGCTAGGTTTAATTAATGCAAATAATGTGACTGGGTGACTATCACAACAAAAAGAATTAATACTCTGATATCTAATACACGTATATCTGTATGCAGCTTTTCCTCAAAATGCAATAGTTTTAAATCTCACATTTTCATCCATTCTACATAATAAATGCAGGCAATAACTTCCGATTGTATAGTAAGTAAAACAAATAAAACATAAGGAATTTTAATCATTCCAAACCAAACTGCATTATTCAAAAGAAGTCAGTAAGCATATAACTAATGAAAATTATAATATAATTTCAATTTTGTTTTACACTAGCCTTCAATATCTGGAGAGACAGAAATGATATACCTCTTACAAATTTCAATGTATTCATTAGAATACCAGTATCCAGTAACCTACCATATCTGAAGGGACAGAAACAGATTTTGCTCCAACAAATTTCAATGTATCCAATGAGACACCAGTGTCCCATGTTGTTACAACATCTCCAGCCTGCTGACAAACTGACCAGTCTGATTGCAGATGAAATGCCTGAAAACAAAACAAAAAGGAGTTTTAAGAGTTTTAGATTCATCTTTTTATAGTTTTCAATGGTCTGGAATTTACACTAAAAGTCCACACAATTTATATGATTTTGTTATTTCTTAATATAGCTAATTCAAAAATCATTAGATCGATGGTCTTAACAAGCATAAAATGTTTGTACATGCATAAGCTTCAAAAACTGTAGATCCTTACTAAAATATTTGTATCAGTGTTACAAACTGTTGGTACATGTTTATATTAGTTTATCAGTGTCACAAACCTCTGGTATATGTTTATCTTTGTGTATCAGACTTACAAACCTTTGGTCATGTTTATCTTTGTGTATCAGTGTTACAAACCTTCTGTACTCGTTTATCTTTGTGTAGTATCAGTGTTACAAACCTTTGGTACACATTTGTCTTTGTGTATCAGTGTTACAATCCTTTGATACATGTTTATTTTGTATATCAGACTTACAAACCTTTGGTTGTATATCTGTTGTACAAACCTTTGGTATATGTTTTTCCACCATATCTAAATTATTAGATAATTCTTTATTCCACTCAGCAACTTCTTTATCTAAAACTTCTTTATTGCATATACCCTCAGTCTGGAAAAGCATAGGTACATACAGTCAAATTCATTAAAAAATAGTCATTATGTAGTATTTGAAAAGAACAAATTTTGGGATCTTCTGTGAGAAAATATGTCATGTAATGTGTGTAGACAGTGATAATTGGGTCACAAGAATATCATAAAACATTAATACTTAAAATTCATACAATAATATAGTGTTATCAAATGGGTGTTTCCATATTAATCCTGTATTATGTCCAAGTACTATCATATTGGATCAAGATTAGCTGTTTTGGCTTGGGGCGTGGTGGAGGGACAATGCTGCACTTATATCTTCCACTGAAAATAAGTTCAGGGTCGCCATTGGAAACCGTCAAACAGTTGTTAAAGTTCTTTAACATGCAGAGAGCCTGGCACTCTCCTTGACAACAAATTTGAGAGTACAGGCCTGCAGACTTTACTTCATTTATTTTTATATTAAGTGTAGCTGAAAATAATATTTTTTAAATTCCATGCCTTTTCTGGAATTTTCTTCATCAAGAACACTCAATTCCACACATTTGAAAGACAGAGAATTGAGAAAAACATGTTACTAATCATTACTTAAATGTATATAAATGCTCTCATTTTGAGAAAGAAATGATCAACTTCAATATTGTACTCACTATAACCTGTTCTGAAAACATATCTGGAATACTTTTTCTTTGATTTATAATGTTATACATAGTAGGCTGTGTAAACGTTGGATCATCAAGCTCGTTGTGTCCATATTTACGGAAACAGATAAAATCTATTATAACGTCTTTACCAAATGTTTGTTGATACTGCATTGCTAAAGATGTGGCTCTTATAACTTCCTACAAAACAAAAGTCTTAATAATTTCAAAGGTCTGCAGAACATTTTCCACACATTTTTTTTGTGTGTCAAATACAGGATTTATATTGGACATTTCAAAAAAGAATTTACATAGAACTAAGTCAAACATGTAAAAATTCAAACTAAAAAATTAAAATTAACAAAAGTTAGTATTTACATAGAACTAAGTTTAACATGCAAAATTCAAACTAAAAAATGAAAATTAAGGAAAGTTAGTACTTTAATCTTTTTTGAAATTTTCATTAAGAAATTTTAGAGCATACAAGTCTAAAAAACAATAAATTAATTTGATGTTGCTTGCCAATCAAAACCAGAGAGATACAATTTTCAATATTGTATAAATAGTTGGTTGTGGCATGCATGTCTTAAGGTCTTGTTCCAACTTGTTCACTTGTATTTACACATTATTAAATCATTTGCTTTTTCAATTCACATATGGAGCAGGATCTGCTTACCTTCCGTTGCACCTGAGATCACCCATTTTTTTTTATGTGGTGTTTTTGTTGCTCAGTCTCTGGTTTCTATGTTGTGTTTTGTGGACTGTTGTTTGTCTTTTGGTTGTTTTCTATTTTTTGCTATGGCATTGTCAGTTTGCTTTTGGACTTGTGAGTTTTAATGTCCCTTTGGTGGTATCTTTTTTTAGAAATATTGAATCGCAAGAAAAAACAATGTTTTAAAATAGAACATGTTTCTCTTATGAGATATAGGCAACTACTAATACACTTTGCAAGATTTTTACATTTTAAGTTATGGTTGACTTTTTGCATGTCATCACATCAAAAAATATAATATAATAATTGAATTAAAGTGCAGTAAAGCAGAAAACAAGAAAAAAGAGAGGGCAAAAAACAAGAAAAAAAGAAATCTCACCTCTGGATAATCAGCATTTACATGTATAACAGGATAAGAATTTATTTTTGCCAGACAACTACTGTACAAAGAAGATCTGAAAAATAATGTAGTAATTTTATAGCAAGAAAATACTGACATTTGAAACTTATTCATTTCATTTTAAATAAAAGAACAGAGTTCCAATGTCAATATGCCTATAAAATTAACAGTGTCAGCGTTTTAGCTGTAACCATATGAATAAAAAAAAAGTTGTGTTTAAGACAATAAAATAGCAACCTAACAACACAAAAAAATACAGGCCTCTAAAGGTCAATTGTACCTTCAACAATAGACAAGTATCTGTCGTTTGCAATCAAAGTATCTTTAACAAGAGTGCACACGCTGAAATGTCTCGCCTTCTTTACTAATCATTGATATTATGTTGATAGTCCTAAATATAAAGCTTTATTACTACTGTCACATAAACTTAACATTAACCAAGTAAACTAAACATTGACCAATGAACCATGAAAATGAGGTCAAGGTCAGATAAACCATACTAGGCAGGCATGTACAGCTAACAATTCTTCCATACAACAAATATAGTTGACCTATTGCTTATAGTTTAAGAAAAACAGACCAAAACACAAAAACTTAACACTGAGCAATGAACCTTGAAAATGAGGTCAAGGTCAAATAAAACCTGCGTGACTGACATATAGATCATAAAATATTTCCATACACCAACTATAGTTGAACTATTGCATATAGTATTAGAAAAAAGACCAAAACTCAAAAACTTAACTTTGACCACTGAACAATGAAAATGAGGTCAAGGTCAGATGACACCTGCCAGTTGGATATGTACACCTTACAGTCCTTCCATACACCGAATATACTAGACCTATTGCTTATAGTATCTGAGATATGGACTTGACCACGAAAACTTAACCTTGTTCACTGATCCATGAAATGAGGTTGAGGTCAAGTGAAAACTGTCTGACGGGCATGAGGACCTTGCAAGGTACACACATATCAAATATAGTTATCCTATTACTTATAATAAGAGAGAATTTAACATTACAAAAAATCTTAACTTTTTTTTCAAGTAGTCACTGAACCATGAAAATGAAGTCAAGGACATTGGACATGTGACTGACGGAAACTTCGTAACATGAGGCATCCATATACAAAGTATGAAGCATCTAGATCTTCCACCTTCTAAAATATAAAGCTTTTAAGAAGTTAGCTAACGCCGCCGCCGCCGGATCACTATCCCTATGTCGAGCTTTCTGTGACAAAAGTCGCAGGCTCGACAAAAATGGTAGCCTTTCCAATTTAATTATATAATAAGCTTTGGTTTCATTTTTACATTTTTACCAAAACATAAGTTTCAAAGTTAATGCTTGAATAAGATATAAAGTACTCTGCGTGACTAATGTGCACCAAGGTAATTAAATATGTATATTTTGACATCTAGCTCACAGATTTTCAACATAATTTTCATAAGCTGACAAAACAATTCAGCACATCCTTCCTCTTTTGTATATTTTACCTTGCTCTACTGGGTTCAGTAGTAAATCCAAGTTGATTATTAACAATGATATGTATACTACCTCCAACATTGAAATGAGGACATTCTGCAAAACCAAATGTCTCAGCTACCACACCCTTAAAAACAATAAACATATTTGAAAGTTTCTGTCACCTATCATAATATAATTTGCTATTTGAAAACAATAGAATTTAAATATCATAGCTTTGTACAAGAACAATCCACTGAGACAGTCTCAATGAGCCAGCTCTCTGGATAGCTTTTCTCAGAAAGACGTGCTTCCCTTCCCTAATACATTATTCTGATTATAAGGCAAGTCCTTGATCTTACTCCTAAATGCTATGTTCTTTGTGCAGAAGCATAGCACAAATACCAATTTTGAAGTCTCATTTTTGACATTAACTCATTGTTAGGAATGGATTCAATTAAGTCCCCACATTTGAGGTCAGAACAAGAAACAGATGTATTAAAGGGAAGTCCTACACAATTGTCATTACAAAGCAATGCTTCACAATTTTATGAATGAAGCACTAAGCAAGGGATACAGTCAGTAGGAAGATCAATAACTAAAGATATAATCCAGAAACTGTTTTTACATTTTGAGACAAAATGGAATGGTACTTGAAGCAGAAGTGTAAATGCTGCTTCATAGTGATTGTACGATTGCAAAAGTTCAAGGCAAACTTGTTTTCATCTGGAAACTAATTGAATTGGAAGGACAGACAGATTGACAATAGGTAATTTTATGCTCCCTTGAATGAAAGATTGCAATTCATTCAGTTATTATCTACAAGTGAACAAGAATTTTGGGGATTTCCTTAATTCTCTAATAAACAAATAAAACATTTCAATATTTTACATGTCCATTCTAAAATATAAAAACTCTTACCTGGGCGGAAAATGAAGCATCACCATGAACTTGAACACATAATACTTTTTGATTTGAGGTATCAGTTTCACTATAATCTCTGACCTTTAACCTTTGTTGTTTAGAACGTGCCTTACCAACTGCAACAGGATTATTGGCCTAGAATGAAATTCAAATTCATGTTGAACTAAATGATTTCACTGTATTCTCAGCCAATTAACCTTTGATAATTCAAATGAGTTTTAACAATTGCAACAAGATTGGACAAATTTGTTTTTAGATGTTAGTTACATGATAGAAAGTTTAAGAATAAATTCATATAGTTATGATGAAGATGAAGGGGTCGGTGTTGATTATCTCCATTTTACACAAAAATAAAATAAAATTTTATAAAATATCTTTGGAGTATTCAGTTTTAGCATAATTTGGGCATTTTCTGCATAATTTGGGCATTTTTCTGAACAAGAAAGAGATTTTCTCACTGTGCTTGATTAAAATGTTTTTTCAATATAAAAATGCATATATCATAAACATAAATTCAATTTTGCTGAACATTTATGCAATTCAATTTTCTTTATGTACACTATTTGTTTAGTTGATAATAATATTTTTAATTTAGTATAACATTAATCTAATTCTTAGTGATTCAATCTAGTTCTTGCCAGTTTGGAAATATTTTCTATAAAGTAAACATTGGTTCAATTTTCTTTTAAGAATCGCTGCCTAATCTTTTTAGAAATTTTTTTCAGACAGTAAAGAGATTTTAACAATTATATTAAAAAACAATCAACAGCAGACAGCATATTGCCATAGAAGCTAAATATACATGCTATTGTGGATATAAAAGATGGAATGAACTGCAGTATTAGCTTTTTGGTGTTGCAAGATTATATATAATACTTCCTTATTTTTCTTCCAACATTTGTCCAACATAGAATCAATCCTATGATATTAGTATTGTTAACCTACTTATTATCATGGCAATCATTTATGAATTTTATTTTATACTTTGATAATCATTCTAAAGAAAAAAAATACAAATTTTCAAATCTAAATATATGTTTTATTCCCGAATGAAAATTAGAGTGAAAATTACATTTTTGCTTACACAAAAGTTTTTTTAACAATCCATAATAATTTTGATAAGGGGGAATAATGCCTTGGAAATATAGCATCTGCATAAAGTGAGATAAACTTTTGGTAATTGCAAGTTTAAGCAGTTTTATAGTTAAGTGTTTTGCAGCTAATTATAAAATCTTTAATAAAACTGCTGACCTGACTGTGCTGTTTTGCCTAAAATCTGAAATGATATTTGTTTAATTTAAAGATTTCAGATATATAAATGTGTGTCCAAAGACTGTTTTACACAAAAGGATTAATTTAAAGCTTCAATTAGTAATAAATCTATCTTCTTACAACACCTTACTTGCTCTGTGTTCTTACAAGTTTATTCAAATTTAAATCTTAGAATTTCCATGGGAATTATTCATACCAAATTTTACAAGCATAATTAACTGTCTTCCCAATTGTCAAATTCCCGTTTCTACATGATGATGTTCCATAGGTTCTATCTGATAGAATTAACTTATCTCCATTAGTTTAAGTTAGAAGTGTATTTTAGGGACCATGATTTTCAGTGTAAAAGAAAATATCAACATGAAACACTAATTCAATTTTGCTAATTCAATTGATTACCTCAAGATGAGAGGGATTTGGTATAAGTGAAACATGAATATCCTTTCCATGATATTGGATATCTTCTGATGTATCTACAAAGAATCAAGTCTACAGTCATGTTAAGTTTATAAGTGAAACATGGATATCCTTTCCCTTATATTGGATATCTTCTGATGTATCTACAAAGAAACAAGTCTACAGTCATGTAAAGTTTATAAGTGAAACATGAATATCCTTTCCATGATATTGGATATCTTCTGCTGTATCTACAAAGAAACAAGTCTACAGTCATGTAAAATTTATAGGATATCCTTTCCATATTATTGGATATCTTCTGATGTATCTACAAAGAAACAAGTCTACAGTCAAGTAAAGTTTATAAGTGAAATATGGATATCCTTTCCTTTATATTGGATATCTTCTGATGTATCTACAAAGAATCAAGTCTACAGTCATGTTAAGTTTATAAGTGAAACATGGATATCCTTTCCTTTATATTGGATATCTTCTGATGTATCTACAAAGAAACAAGTCTACAGTCATGTAAAGTTTATAAGTGAAACATGAATATCCTTTCCATGATATTGGATATCTTCTGATGTATCTACAAAGAAACAAGTCTACAGTCATGTTAAGTTTATAAGTGAAACATGGATATCCTTTCCATGACATTGGATATCTTCTGATGTATCTACAAAGAATCAAGTCTACAGTCATGTTAAGTTTATAAGTGAAACATGAATATCCTTTCCATGATATTGGATATCTTCTGATGTATCTACAAATAAACAAGTCTACAGTTATGTTAAGTTTATAGGATATCCTTTCCATGATATTGGATATCTTCTGATGTATCTACAAAGAAACAAGTCTACAGTCATGTAAAGTTTATAAGTGAAACATGGATATCCTTTCCATGATATTGGATATCTTCTGATGTATCTACAAAGAAAACAAGTCTAGAGTCATGTAAAGTTTATAAGTGAAACATGGATATCCTTTCCATGATATTGGATATCTTCTGATGTATCTACAAAGAAACAAGTCTACAGTTATGTTAAGATTATAGGATGTCCTTTCCATGATATTGGATATCTTCTGATGTATCTACAAAGAAACAAGTCTACAGTCATGTTAAGTTTATAAGTGAAACATGGATATCCTTTCCATGATATTGGATATCTTCTGATGTATCTACAAAGAAACAAGTCTACAGTCATGTTAAGTTTATAAGTGAAACATGGATATCCTTTCCATGATATTGGATATCTTCTGATGTATCTACAAAGAATCAAGTCTACAGTCATGTTAAGTTTATAAGTGAAACATGGATATCCTTTCCATGATATTGGATATCTTCTGATGTATCTACAAAGAAACAAGTCTACAGTCATGTTAAGTTTATAAGTGAAACATGGATATCCTTTCCATGACATTGGATATCTTCTGATGTATCTACAAAGAATCAAGTCTACAGTCATGTTAAGTTTATAAGTGAAACATGAATATCCTTTCCATGATATTGGATATCTTCTGATGTATCTACAAATAAACAAGTCTACAGTTATGTTAAGTTTATAGGATATCCTTTCCATGATATTGGATATCTTCTGATGTATCTACAAAGAAACAAGTCTACAGTCATGTTAAGTTTATAAGTGAAACATGGATATCCTTTCCATGATATTGGATATCTTCTGATGTATCTACAAAGAATCAAGTCTACAGTCATGTTAAGTTTATAAGTGAAACATGGATATCCTTTCCAAATTATTGGATATCTTCTGATGTATCTACAAAGAAACAAGTCTACAGTCATGTAAAGTTTATAAGTGAAACATGGATATCCTTTCCATGACATTGGATATCTTCTGATGTATCTACAAATAAACAAGTCTACAGTTATGTTAAGTTTATAGGATATCCTTTCCATGATATTGGATATCTTCTGATGTATCTACAAAGAAACAAGTCTACAGTCATGTTAAGTTTATAAGTGAAACATGGATATCCTTTCCAAGATATTGGATATCTTCTGATGTATCTACAAAGAAACAAGTCTACAGTCATGTTAAGTTTATAAGTGAAACATGGATATCCTTTCCATGATATTGGATATCTTCTGATGTATCTACAAAGAATCAAGTCTACAGTCATGTTAAGTTTATAAGTGAAACATGGATATCCTTTCCATATTATTGGATATCTTCTGATGTATCTACAAAGAAACAAGTCTACAGTCATGTAAAGTTTATAAGTGAAACATGGATATCCTTTCCATGATATTGGATATCTTCGGATGTATCTACAAAGAAACAAGTCTACAGTCATGTAAAGTTTATAAGTGAAACATGGATATCCTTTCTATGATATTGGATATCTTCTGATGTATCTACAAATAAACAAGTCTACAGTTATGTTAAGTTTATAGGATATCCTTTCCATGATATTGGATATCTTCTGATGTATCTACAAAGAAACAAGTCTACAGTCATGTTAAGTTTATAAGTGAAACATGGATATCCTTTCCATGATATTGGATATCTTCTGATGTATCTACAAAGAATCAAGTCTACAGTCATGTTAAGTTTATAAGTGAAACATGGATATCCTTTCCTTTATATTGGATATCTTCTGATGTATCTACAAAGAAACAAGTCTACAGTCATGTAAAGTTTATAAGTGAAACATGAATATCCTTTCCATGATATTGGATATCTTCTGATGTATCTACAAATAAACAAGTCTACAGTTATGTTAAGTTTATAGGATATCCTTTCCGTGTTATTGGATATCTTCTGATGTACCTACAAAGAATCAAGTCTACAGTCATGTTAAGTTTATAAGTGAAACATGGATATCCTTTCCTTTATATTGGATATCTTCTGATGTATCTACAAAGAAACAAGTCTACAGTCATGTAAAGTTTATAAGTGAAACATGAATATCCTTTCCATGATATTGGATATCTTCTGATGTATCTACAAAGAAACAAGTCTACAGTCATGTTAAGTTTATAAGTGAAACATGGATATCCTTTCCATGATATTGGATATCTTCTGATGTATCTACAAAGAATCAAGTCTACAGTCATGTTAAGTTTATAAGTGAAACATGGATATCCTTTCCATGATATTGGATATCTTCTGATGTATCTACAAAGAAACAAGTCTACAGTCATGTAAAGTTTATAAGTGAAACATGGATATCCTTTCCATGATATTGGATATCTTCTGATGTATCTACAAATAAACAAGTCTACAGTTATGTTAAGTTTATAGGTTATCCTTTCCATGATATTGGATATCTTCTGATGTATCTACAAAGAATCAAGTCTACAGTTATGTTAAGTTTATAGGATATCCTTTCCATGATATTGGATATCTTCTGATGTATCTACAAAGAAACAAGTCTACAGTCATGTTAAGTTTATAAGTGAAACATGAATATCCTTTCCATGATATTGGATATCTTCTGATGTATCTACAAATAAACAAGTCTACAGTTATGTTAAGTTTATAGGATATCCTTTCCATGATATTGGATATCTTCTGATGTATCTACAAAGAAACAAGTCTACAGTCATGTTAAGTTTATAAGTGAAACATGGATATCCTTTCCATGATATTGGATATCTTCTGATGTATCTACAAAGAATCAAGTCTACAGTCATGTTAAGTTTATAAGTGAAACATGGATATCCTTTCCTTTATATTGGATATCTTCTGATGTATCTACAAAGAAACAAGTCTACAGTCATGTTAAGTTTATAAGTGAAACATGGATATCCTTTCCATGATATTGGATATCTTCTGATGTATCTACAAATAAACAAGTCTACAGTTATGTTAAGTTTATAGGTTATCCTTTCCATGATATTGGATATCTTCTGATGTATCTACAAAGAATCAAGTCTACAGTTATGTTAAGTTTATAGGATATCCTTTCCATGATATTGGATATCTTCTGATGTATCTACAAAGAAACAAGTCTACAGTCATGTTAAGTTTATAAGTGAAACATGAATATCCTTTCCATGATATTGGATATCTTCTGATGTATCTACAAATAAACAAGTCTACAGTTATGTTAAGTTTATAGGATATCCTTTCCATGATATTGGATATCTTCTGATGTATCTACAAAGAAACAAGTCTACAGTCATGTTAAGTTTATAAGTGAAACATGGATATCCTTTCCATGACATTGGATATCTTCTGATGTATCTACAAAGAATCAAGTCTACAGTCATGTTAAGTTTATAAGTGAAACATGAATATCCTTTCCATGATATTGGATATCTTCTGATGTATCTACAAATAAACAAGTCTACAGTTATGTTAAGTTTATAGGATATCCTTTCCATGATATTGGATATCTTCTGATGTATCTACAAAGAAACAAGTCTACAGTCATGTAAAGTTTATAAGTGAAACATGGATATCCTTTCCATGATATTGGATATCTTCTGATGTATCTACAAAGAAACAAGTCTACAGTCATGTAAAGTTTATAAGTGAAACATGGATATCCTTTCCATGATATTGGATATCTTCTGATGTATCTACAAATAAACAAGTCTACAGTTATGTTAAGTTTATAGGATATCCTTTCCATGATATTGGATATCTTCTGATGTATCTACAAAGAAACAAGTCTACAGCCATGTTAAGTTTATAAGTGAAATATGGATATCCTTTCCATGATATTGGATATCTTCTGATGTATCTACAAAGAATCAAATCTACAGTCATGTTAAGTTTATAAGTGAAACATGGATATCCTTTCCTTTATATTGGATATCTTCTGATGTATCTACAAAGAAACAAGTCTACAGTCATGTAAAGTTTAAAAAAGAAACATGAATATCCTTTCCATGATATTGGATATCTTCTGATGTATCTACTAAGAAACAAAGCCTACAATCACGTAAAGTTTAAAAAAGAAACATGGATATCCTTTCTATGAAAATTCTCCCAATGTACTGCACTTGTATTTATAGATGAATTCACACCATGTGAACTAAAGGGCATCTAATTCACATAACAAAGGAAGACAATGAATAAAGACAACAATTTAAGTTGCAATAGTTCTTTTTATTTCCCTTGTCTGCAAGATTGTAATTGTGTAACTTGCAGGTCCATTTCCTGTCAGAAATACATTGAAAATATCCGATAGCGCATGGTTTTGACAAAATTATCATGAATTCCTATCTGATTTCCTGATACATTCTTATATTTGATATTCGATTACACGATAAATTTTACATTAATAAAGGGAAGGTTTTTTGTTTTGAAATAATATTACAATAGCCGATATATTTGTTTAGCTGATGGGTAGTTGATGGTGTTAATACTTACAAAGATGAGATAATACATCACCAGTTCCTTTAGCACCAGGTGGCAGTTCTGATTTTCCTTTCATCTAGAAAAAATATACAGATAACTTTATATGAAGCATCTAAGTAAACAAGTCCTCAAAGAACTAATCAATTGTTGATGACAGTTAAAAAATAAATGGAGAATGTGTCCATGGGACACAGATGATGCCCCGCTTGCATATAACGTTAAAAAGGCACATAACGCAAGAACAGTAAAACTGACGCAACACAAATTAAAATTTGATCTGTGTTTTGTGGTAATAAGCATTGTTTATAATTTTTATAACATTTGGTTGAGGCAAACTAAAGTTAGAGAACAGAAACTAATTTTGGGATGTACAGACATACAGACGGACACTTAAAGCCCCCTCTGCAGCGGCAGGGGAATAAAAATTTAAATTGAAAACTGTAAATGTGGATTCATTTATTTTCATTGGTATCAATTTTTGTGGATGGAGAGAAAAAGGCTCTTTCTAGGGTACATAATTTTGGGGTTTCATCATTTGTGTCTATAAAAGTATCTTAAATTTGTATTCCGGCCAGTATCTAAATTTGTGGTTTTCTTCTACCCATGAAATCAACAAAAAATTGGTATCCAACAAACATTAATGGATACACACTAGTTGTATTAAATTTTATAAATTTATTTCTCGAATTCTTCCCCGATTTATCCTTTTCCTGACCTGTTGATTATTTTTATTTAATCAACTTGTGGTTCATTTGATCTCAGTTCTTCATTGGTTAAAATTCAATTTATGACGTCAAATGTTCTTGCTTTCCTCTGAATTTCCTATTGTGACGTCATGAAAAAAAGCAAACAATGTCTGATGATGTCACATAGAAAAAACACATCTTTTTGCAGATGATTCGAATGTAAGGATTAAGATTGTCTGCATTTCGCCTAAAAATAATTAGAGAAACAGATTCCATCGGCAATCCTCGCGTTTTAAATATGAAAATTAAACTGTCTCTAGTGGATAAATATCATATCACACTCGATGCAGTGGTAAAATCTATATATCAATTTCTTAGATTACTTACATCAATATACCAATAAAATCATGGGAACTGAAATTTTTAGATATTAATACCTTGTATTACCATTAATTAATATATTTTACCTTTTGAAACATGATTACAGGTGGGAACTTCAACGTGCAGGTAAGAAAATTCAGTCTCCCTCTGTGAGGCATACACATAACAATATGTGATATGTCATCTGAAAAAAAACAGTGCATACAACTAATGTAACCATATATATAGCATAAGCACTTGTATGGAAGACTACATTAAAGAAGCGTCAAATGCTGAATGAATGACATTAATCTGCTTTACATTTTTTATGTTAGACTCATCTTAACTAATGGTGCAAGTTTATAATATCAAATTTGTATTTCAGTCTGTGTAATCATAGAAATCATATATAAGAGCAATTTATTACATATATATACTGATATATCCCACTGATAGATTATTGTTGTATTATTTGGAGTGGTTGTGCTAAAAATGAGCTAGTCAGAATAATAAAATTGCAGAAAAGGGCTGCAAGACTTATTTTAGATGCTGATCCACTTTCATCATCAGCTCCACTGTTTAAACAGCTTGGGTGGATGACAGTAGAGAACAGAATCTCATGCCACAAATCTGTTTTGATGCAGAAATGCCTTAAGAATGAAGCCCCTGTATATCTCACTGAAAAATTTAAAGAAATGCCAGAAATAAACCAATATTGTTTGAGGAATGTGTCTTGCAAAAATTTACAAGTTCCAAAAGCCAAAACAGAGCTGTATAAGAAATCTTTTATATATTCAGGATCTATTTTATGGAATAACTTACCAACATCCCTGAAAAAATCAACCTCAAGTACAAGCTCATCAAAAAAGATTTAAACAAGAGTGCACACGCTGAAATGTCTCGCCTTCTTTACTAATCATTGATATAATGTTGATAGTCCTAAATATAAAGCTTTATTACAACTGTCACATAAACTTAACATTAACCAAGTAACCTTAACATTGACCAATGAACCATGAAAATGAGGTCAAGGTCAGATGAACCATGCTAGGCAGGCATGTACAGCTAACAATTCTTCCATACAACAAATATAGTTGACCTATTGCTTATAATTTAAGAAAAACAGACCAAAACACAAAAACTTAACACTGAACAATGAACCATGAAAATGAGGTCAAGGTCAGATGACACCTGCCCGCTAGACATGTACACCTTACAATCATTCCATACACCAAATATAGTAGACCTATGGAATACAGTATAAGAAAAACAGACCAAAACACAAAAACTTAACTATAACCACTGAACCATGAAAATGAGGTCAAGGTCAGATGACACCTGCCAGTTGGACATGTACACCTTACAGTCCTTCCATACACCAAATATACTAGACCTATAGCTTATAGTTTCTGAGATATGGACTTGACCACCAAAACTTAACCTTGTTCACTGATCCATGAAATGAGGTCAAGGTCAAGTGAAAACTGTCTGACGGGCATGAGGACCTTGCAAGGTACGCACATACCAAATATAGTTGAACTATTGCATATAGTATTAGAAAAAAAGACCAAAACTCAAAAACTTAACTTTGACCACTGAACCTTGAAACTGAGGTCAAGGTCAGATGAAACCTGCCCGCTAGGCATGTACACCTTACAATCATTCCATACACCAAATATAGTAGACCTATGGCATACAGTATAAGAAAAACAGACCAAAACACAAAAACTTAACTATAACCACTGAACCATGAAAATGAGGTCAAGGTCAGATGACACCTGCCAGTTGGACATGTACACCTTACAGTCCTTCCATACACCGAATATACTAGACCTATTGCTTATAGTATCTGAGATATGGACTTGACCACGAAAACTTAACCTTGTTCACTGATCCATGAAATGAGGTCGAGGTCAAGTGAAAACTGTCTGACGGGCATGAGGACCTTGCAAGGTACGCACATACCAAATATAGTTATCCTATTACTTGTAATAAGAGAGAATCTATCATTACAAAAAATCTTAACTTTTTTTTCAAGTAGTCACTGAACCATGAAAATGAGGTCAAGGACATTGGACATGTGACTGACGGAAACTTCGTAACATGAGGCATCCATATACAAAGTATGAAGCATCCAGACCTTCCACCTTCTAAAATATAAAGCTTTTAAGAAGTTAGCTAACGCCGCCGCCGCCGGATCACTATCCCTATGTCGAGCTTTCTGAGACAAAAGTCGCAAGCTCAACAAAAATTACTTGTTGGAACATTAAGAAGCTGTGTAATTTTATATGTATAATAATTTTCACACACTTACTCAAACTTAAGATATTGTTGAGGTCATTTGAATGATGCCAATACTATATGAATTTGTAATTTTTACCTGTTTTGAAAAGTTGTATATTTCATAACAATTTTTTATTTCATTTTTTCATATATGTGTGTTTGTTTGATATTTTGTAATTGTTTGTTATATTTCATTGTATTTCATGAGGGCCTCAGGGAAGATTAGTTTTATAGCTAACTGTGTAACCCTCTTTAAATAAAGAATTATTATTATTATTATTATTATTATTATTATTATTATTATTATTATCTATTATTATTATTATTATTATTATCATAAGCTATGGGAAAAGTGTAATAAACTTGTTTCTTTCTTAAAAAAAAACACTTTGTCTAATTTAGCCATAAATTGATCAGCATCTCTGTCTAATGTATAACATGAACACCGGTTATCTGACAAACATCAGTGCTGGCAGTATAAATATGCAACATTAAGGTAAATCGGTGTCTTCCGCCAACTTTGTTTGTTAAAAAGCAGAAAACAATCGGCTTAGATCATTAATGAAATGTGTAAATTTTGAGAGGAACGTATAATGTTCATCTAAATAAAGAAAATTGTGTGTTTTATCTTATTCTGATAACTGTTTTTACAAATACAGAATATTTTTGTTTGATTAAAGTTTTTTTCAACTTTGCCATATAAGGGGAGATAACTCAGATAATGTAACTTTTATAAAGGAATATGTGATGGAATTTACCTGTTTTGTTTTGTAGCAAGAAAACAAGGCCTGTGACCCTAATTTTCATTTTTATTTTCAAAAAGCACATTATACAAGCTATCTTCTCATATTTTATCTTAAAATTCTATCACACAAAATTGGATTTTTCATGCATAATCCATACAAAATCTGACAATTTTGCACAACCTGTAGCTTGAAAAAAAAGCCTAGTGACCCATACCTTTTATTATATTTTTGAAAAAAGCATGATATGAACTACATTTTGGCAAATTATCAAAAAAATATATGGATTATAATTTAGACCCCTATCTACCTTAAGTGTTGATTTATATAAATACATTTAATCAAATGTCATGTTTTGATTCAATTGTGAGCGAAAACAAATGAACCAAACCTGTTGTGAGAATTTACCTTGTGCACTATGAGAGAATATCTCATCAAAAATAGCCATCATACTTTCTCCTCCTTCTCCACCATATCTCTTTACTGTAGTAAACTTATTGGCAAGGAAGTGGTCAAAAGCCTGAAAAGTTTAGTAAAAATGCAATATTTCTATTCCTTTCCTACTGTAAATTCAGAAATTATTGTGTGCATTAATTATTACCACTTTTGCAGATTGAATAAACATGAGTTATTAATTGTTGATATTTCAGAAAAAGCTTCATACAGATATATGTATCAGATACCAGAATGCGAGTTTCTATTATTGCAAGACTCACCCAGTCATATTGTTCGCATTGATAAAAACATTGCAATAACTTCAGAATTTACATGCAGTAATTAACATTTGAATTAGAAGACCAATTAGTTTGATTCTTTTTGTTCTTTTAATCAGACATTGAATTCTATACAAACCCCTAAATCCTGACAGGGAGGTATACAATTAAACATGTTATAAGACAGGGATTCAGTTTACAATCAAAGAAGAAGGGGTTTATTCAAGACAGGTTTCCAGTTTAAACAGAGTCCATTATGTGAAGAAAAAAGAATAAGCACACTAATGGTGCATTATTTATCTACTTGATAATGGATCTATTTCAATTCAAGACAGAACTTGCTGCCCCAAGTCTTGGTCCGTAGATTCAATATTTTTTTATAGTGACTGTGTCTCAAAGCACAGAGTCTCCCAAAAAAGGTTGATTTGCTTCTGAGAAAAACGAATCCTTTGGGAGGACTCCATTTTTGTAAGAGAAACTTTTCTGACATTGAGAAGTTAAGTGTTATCTAGTATTACTATAAGACCAGTATCTTATTTGAATAAATCCTTAAAAAGGCATGTAATATTTGCCACTCAATATTAAGTAACTATCAATTATTTCTATTTAACATCCATAAGAATTGGACTTCCTATTTCCATAATGCAAATTCTGGAAGGATTTTTTGCTTGTACATGTATATCTTTCTGGGATAGGCTAGGATAATATTATATTCTTTAAAGTGTTACTTGACAATAGTGAGAAATATGGTAAAAGTGTCTTCACAAAAGTCATTTCTTTTTGTATAAGATACGAACCTGACATTTTAACATTAATTTGGCCAAGTCTGCTTTCCTCTCATCAGGTATCAATGATTTTCTCTGAGATTCAAATGTATGAGCAAACCATTCTCTTTCTTCTGTCTAGAAAAAAAAATATGTAAAAACACCAAGTGTTTTGTTATTATAAGGAAGCCATGTAATCATGCAACATACTTTCATGGTTTTTGGCCATAGATTAAGAAGCAAAATAGATTACTGTGGATTCATTTATTTTCGTGGGTACCAATTTTCGTGGATTGAAGAAAACTTGCATTTTCGTGGATATTTAATTTCCTGGTTTTGCAAAAGTCTGCATACAGTCCTATAGAAAATTAGTAATTCGTTGAACATTTAAATTTGTGGTTCCCCTCTGACCACAAAATGCACGAAAATTGGTATTCAAGGAATAATAATGAATCCACAGTACATTGTTGTTTCTTTTGTCAACTATCATTTAGGTATATTTACACTGTTTACAAAACTACCGGTAGGTACCGGTAAAAATTAGTATTTGCACAAAAATTGATGAATATTGTCCTGAGTAGATTATAATATTAACCATCCTTGCCAGTGCCAATAATATTTTACTAGGGATAATATTCACATATATTCATGCAATTACCCTATCATTGTATGGCAAAACTTTTAACATAACAAGAACGTTATGTTTACTTATTGAATGATAATTATAATGTTACCATTTTGAAGAGATATTCATTATTGACACACAAACTTTTGGTTAACTTGTACCTGGTATAACAATGTTACAAAATAAATTTAAACATTGTTTATGTTAGTTTATTATACAATCTGAATGCTGATTTCAATTTTTAAAAATAGAAAGAAAATGCCACATTCAAATAATCTATATATATAATGTTATGACCTATTTATAAATATAGACAACCAAACTAATTATGAACCACAAAATAAAAATTCTCAACTAAATCCATACCTGCAAATAATCAAATTCCACAGCAATGGGTCCACAATAAATACTCTCTAATGTATCTATTAACTGGGCTGTGTTCAGTTTTGTTGCACCATTATTCAAAATTCCATTTACATCAAACTGATTCGTTGAGTCTTTAGACAATCCATAATTTGATAATTCTACTTCTGGTGCACCACTGAAAAATACTGAACAGGTTTACGAAACATTCTGATTAATTTGCAACATACAAAGACCTAAATACATGAACCAAATAATTCTCTTTAATTTATACTAAAATTAATGTAAGATAATTTTGTTGTTTTTTAATTTTTATTTTCTGCAAATTAAAGTGAAGAGCTTCCATCTTGCTTTCCAAATAAACCTATGTTTCCTTCATGCTATGAACACTCAATTAAATATACAGGGTCTAAAACATTTTGATGTTGATCTGACTCTTAAATCAAAATTTGTTTAAAAATAAAATGTCATGCACACGCATATGCATTTCCTGTGTGCATACAAAAGTAATTCATTTACTATGTAGAAATCATAAAATGGAATATTTATTACCAAATAGTTTTTCAACTGCATGGTATACAGTACTGTTCTTGTTGACGGTCAGCTTGTTAAATGGGAAACAATTTTTTTAGATATCTATATAAGAAGAAAATACAAACCATCGTTGTTGAAGTCCTAAGGGATCCAAAGTTGCCTTTTTATGCCCATGTTTTCTGTATGCTTCCGTCAGTCTGTAAGCTTGGAAGTTCTCACTAGTAACAACATTCTGTGTCACTACAAATTTAAAGATTTTTCATGGAAAAGGATTGAGACAAGCAATACACATAAAAGTCACATCAATTCATATCTTAAGACATGTAAGAGATCTTTTGGTGTTTTTTTAAAACAAAAAAGTAAAAGAGTCTGCATTTTTGTTTATTTTTTAAGACGAGAATAAAAAAGTGGAGTATTCAAGTAGACAAATTTCAATTAAATTTGTTTTCCCTAAAAGAACAAATATCTAAATGCAATGGAGGGTATCTAAATGCAATGGAGGGTATCTATATGCAATGGAGGGTATCTATATGCAATGGAGGGTATCTAAATGCAATGGAGGGTATCTAAATGCAATGGAGGGTATCTATATGCAATGGAGGGTATCTATATGCAATGGAGGGTATCTATATGCAATGGAGGGTATCTAAATGCAATGGAGGGTATCTATATGCAATGGAGGGTATCTATATGCAATGGAGGGTATCTATATGCAATGGAGGGTATCTATATGCAATGGAGGGTATCTATATGCAATGGAGGGTATCTATATGCAGTATATTTTTATATAAAAAAAAATGTTAGGGTGAAGTGTATTTAAAGATAGAAATAAGTTGTAACAATTTTGAGAAGTAAGACCATTTGAATAACATGATATGATAAAAGGGGGGGGGCGCATTTGTATGAAACGGACACTTACATGACTTATGCATTTCTAAAAGGGGTCCTTTAACTTTGTATTCTTATATTCTTCAGGCATTTTCCTTTAAAAATAAAAATTATGCAAGATGCTGTATAATCCTGATGAAAATTAATTTAATATAAAATTTCTCTTCTTTCATTTCTGTAAGCAGAATAGTATTGCCTATTCTTTAATTTTCCAGTTATTCTTTAAACTTTTACATGTTTTGCACTCCATCATTCTGTAAACTGCTCTCTATACTCTCATTCATCAAAAAGTCTGTTTATATATATATATCTATGTTGGCGTTTGGTTTTTTTGCACTTCAGTTTCTGTTGTTTTGTTGTTTTTCTCTTGTAGCTTATGTGTTTCCCTCAGTTTTGGTTAGTAACCCAGATTATAGGCGGATCCAAGGGGGGGGGGGGGGGGGGGGGGGGGGGGGGCTAGGGCTGGATGACTGGAGCGGACCCCCCCCCCCCCTTTAGGTCAGTCAGTGGGCCCCCCTTATGAAAAGTTCTGGATCTGCCACTGCAGATTTGTTTTCTCACAATCAAATTATGACTTTTGAACAGAGGTATACATACTATACTGTTGCCTTTATCATGTTTATTTATATATCAATCCTTTTGAACATTATTTTAAACCAATTAATTTAGTTCATATGCAGGCTACCAAAAAATTAGTATCATATAGCACTGATCCAGGGGAGGGGGTTATGGGGTTGGAACCCCCCTTTTTTTAATAACGATCAATGCATTAGAATGGGGAAGTATAGTAATCATCGGTTGAAAACCCCCTTTCAAAAATGGCTGGATAAGCCCCTGTATTGCACCTAGGACTAACTTAATATAATAGTCCCAGGTTGCACAGATTTACACTGTAAATCACACACCTCCAGTTTTAACCAATCAACGAACAGTTTCAGAAACATTGTATCCTTGAAAACTTAAACACATTTTGTACCTTTTTCGGTTGACAAACGTGATTGTTCTTTCCTTCTATGCCCATAAATTCCATTTTCTGAGTGATATAAAGATGTGTTTGCATATGCTGATCGGAATATCCGTGGGGCAGTGTGAAGTCTCCACAACGTTAACATTGACATTGTTTTCGTTCTGCAGCTTTCCTGCCTCAATCATTAGAGAGCTTTGAAAGACAGGTGCGCGAAAATTTTTGAATCGATCGCGAACTACCGAAAGGTTATGATTTTTTTTTAAAATACCGAAATATAGTTCACATTCATTGGAAATATTCTCATTATGTGTCACATAGTGCTAGTTAGTCCTATGAGACATACCTTCGCTTTTCACTTTATCCAACGTTTTTAATAATAAGCTGATATTTTCATTTTTTCAGTAATTTTTTTTTTTTTTGCGTAATACGGTAATCGGACGAGCTTAAGATTAAAAGGAAAAGAAAAGAAAAATAGAAACTGGCAAAATAAATGAAAACAAATTACGAAACATAAGAGAAAATATATTAGGACATGAAGTGACCGTAGATTTAATTATTGATTGTTTGTTGTATTACGTCCAGCGGCAAATATTTCATGCATGTTAAGGACGAACCTTAGATTTATATTGACATATATATAACTGTTGATCTACAGTACATATGTTAGGTACAAATTAAAAGATGAAAAGACAATAGAATAATTGTAGACTTACACTGAGACTACCAAGTAACCTCACAGACACCAGCTTAAAAATAAGGTATATCATATAGGACTTTTTTCAGAGAAAAGTGCCTTTGCAATACCTAATAGGACTTGAAACCAAGCTGAGACTACCAACTATATTTAAGTATTCTCAGTTAAAATTTAGAATTTTTTCTCTATCATATTTATGAACCCGTAAATTGCTTTTTTTTTGCACATTTCTCAGTTTAAATATTGGTCTAATATCCTTATTAACTTAACTCCTCTTATCACTGCCTTTTGATATCAATAAAAAAAATATATGATCATATATGACATTGAAGATATGGGGTGGCATGGGTAATTTTTATTTCCATGATTGCATTAATATTATTAAGATGTTATTTTGGTGTCCAAAGTCGGAGATTTCCCCCTATTTTCTGCAAATAATATCTAATTCAAAATAAGGTGCATTATATTATAGCTTTATATAGTTGGAAAGAACACATTTCATCATGTTCATAGGGGCGTTACGTCTATTTTGTATTGGATTTTTATTTCATAGTTTCTTCGAAAAAAAACATTGAAATATGCATTTTTTCAGGCAATTTCGCTAATTGTCTCATGTGAATCACTGATAATTGTGACCCAATTATTGATTAATTATTGATCATATTCATATCCATTCACATGTTTTCGTCATTAACATCGTTTTACTAGTATAAACTGGATATTAAACAACCGCACAATAAACCATATATAATCTTACATGCTGTGGTATGACCTTTTCAATGCAACTATATGTTTGTTCCTGTGATCATGCTTACTCATATAATAAATCTTTACATAAATTAGAAAAAAAAAATGGCTCTGATCCTGACATCCCCTATACCATTTTAGTTTTATTTGGCTTTATAGGAACTTTCTAAATCAACAAATATATGTTGCAGGGAGGGGAGCATAATATATATATTATAAATTGACAGAATGCCAAACATAGATTACAACACAGCGTCAAATACAAAATGTATTTGTATAAAGCTAAATATTTCCGAGAAGACAGAAGACCTGGCCATGATGCCTGGATGCTTCGATCATTTCTTTTGTGCAGAAATATTATGCTACGAAGTTCCCGTTTGTTATATGTGTATTGTCCTTTACCTTATTGTCATGGTTCAGCTACTGCTTGAAAACAAATTTTAATTTTATGGATTGATAGTGATCAAGTTTTGGTCAAGTCCTATCTAAAGTACTATAAGCTGTAGGGCACTGTATTTGGTGTATGAAATTATTGTAAGGTGTACATGTCTGACTGATAGGTTTCATCTGACCTTTACCTCATTTCATGGTTCATTGGTCAATGTTATTTTTGTTTATTTGGTCTATTTGACAGATACTATAAGCAATAGGTCAACTGTTTTTGGTGAACAGAGTAGTTCTAAAGGTGTATATGTTTATGTGGCAAAATGTATCTGACCTTATTTTCATGGTTCATTAGTCAATGTTAAGTATCCATTGTTTTATCTGTTTTCCAAATACTATGAGCAAAAGGTCAACTTACTATACTTATTAAAATTGGGAATATAAATGGGGAATGTTTCAAAGAGACATCAACCCAACCAAAGAGCAGAAAACAACCGAAGTCCACCAATGGGTCTTCAACACAGCGAGTGTCTTCAATATTCTCCATGGAAATGAGATGTGCTAATGCTTATACAACTGCATACCAATCAACATTGGCCGGCCACTAATAGTTCCCCTTAAACTGACCTAATCACAAACTAATACATGTAAACTAAGCCAAAGTTTCAAAGTCAATAGACCATGACTGAGGGGCGGGGCCAAATAATCTCCATGGAAATGAGATGTGCCAATGCTTATACAACTGCATACCAAATATCATTGACCTACCACTAGTGGTTCCCCATAAACTGACCTAATCACAAACTAATACATTTAAACTAAGCCAAAGTTTCAAAGTCAATAGGCCATGACTGAGGGGGCAGGGCCAAATAATCTCCATGGAAATGAAATGTGCCCATGCTAATACAACTGCATACCAAATATCATTGACCTACCACTAGTGGTTCACCACAAACTAGACCTAATCACAAACTAAAACATTGTTGACGCCGCCGCCGCCGACACCTGAAACAGCATACCTATGTCTCGATTTTTGACTCCGTCAAGGCGAGACAAAAATTGTATGAAATGTTTGTAATGTGTACATGTATGTTTGGCAGGGTTAACCTGACCTTGACCTCATTTTTATGGTTTATTAGTCAATCAAGACTTTTCATTGTCAATTTTAAGTTAGCATGATGTTTGTTTCTCAGATACAATAAGCAACAATCAACTATAGTTTGGTTTATGGAAGGATTGTAAGGTGTACATTTCTGCCAGGCATGGTTAATCTGATTTGACCTCATTTTGTTGGTTTATTATTCAATCAAGACTTTTCATTGATATGTTTGTTTTTAGATACTGCAAGCAATAGGTCAACTATATTTAGTGTATGGAATGATTGCATGGTGCCAATTTTGACCATGACCTTTTGATCCTGTTTCATTGGTCAATTTTCAATTTTGGTAATTAGGTCTGTTTCTTGGATACCATAAGTTAACTATATGTGTTGCATGGCATGATTGTAAGGTATACATGTCTGTCTGACAGGGTTCATCTGACCTTGACCTCATATATATTGATCATTGATGTTTAAAATTAACCAAAACTGAAAGTAAAATCTTCATATTACATTACAAATTCAATGTTAAGTACAGCAGCTAGACATATCAGCATGTGCACCCTTGTACATGCATGTATATAACCTTTTGCCTTGAAAATACCTTTTCTGATTTTTCAGATCGTAAATCTTTTTCTATGACTTTTTCTTGAGTAGAATGACTTCTATAGATGAAAGGGGGGCAGTAGATTTAGTCGACAAAAACAGTTACACCTATTTTTTAACGAGTTTTCTTCTTTCAAATTTTCTGTTCTTTTAAAAATACACTTGTAAATTGGAAAAAAAATTGCAGTCATATAAAAATCAATCAAGCGTTCTCAAAATTTTTTTTTCAAGGTTTGATAATTTCCCTTATATCTTCTTTTTTCGTTCACTGTGAAGAACATTGTTGAAGATTCAAGTTGAGGACCATTTATCAATGCAGTGCTTTTACAAAAAGTTTAATACAATTTCTTTGACAAAGAATATCATTGGATTTAATATTCAAATTAATTATAGATTGGAAGCATATTTCTTATATTTAGCTGCCACAACCACTAAAATCAACATTCATATCTTTTTAATATGAAATAATTATCCTTTTCTATAGGAAGTTTGAACAATATTTGAATTTCTACAGAAAATTTTAAGAATATACCAAAAGACAACTCCAATCCTTCTTTTTGGACATTATTGATAAAGGAGACAACAATAAAATGAATGGTAGCTGTCAAGAAACTCCTCCTCAAAGCTAATATGGACAATGTGTTGTTTGTTGAAGTTTGCCTATGTTGTTAATTTTTCAGACAAGTCAGATGTTAATGGTTAAAAGTAACCTTATGGTCTAATTCTGTTATTATATTCATGTACCCCTGTCATTAACAAAAGCTTATCTTATTGTGGCAGCCAAGGGAAATAACTCAAATTCAAGTTACCGGTACATCATTTGAAACCTATCTATTATTGACCAATGTCCTTCACTTCATAGTATTTTGACACTGATGATCTTTATGATATAGTTCTGAAGGTTGTCAGATGTATGATGGAAGACATGCTGGTTCAACCACATGACAAGGACAAGGACTTCAATAGAGAAAGTATGTGTTATGGATACATGGACATCTTGGCAGGCAATAGATGAGCTATCCCTAGTTGCTGCTGTCTGGAAAATCAAAGATAGATATCCTGATTCATTAGGATTATTATGTTGGCCTTGAAGCTGGAAGACTGGGCTTGTTGTTATTTATTTGAATACATTTTAACTCTTGAATTGTTATTTCTTTACTGTACAATTAAATCATGATAACAAGAGCCATATCAAATAGCTAGACTATTGAATTTGGGAAAAAAATAATTGTTTTCCAGTGATTTTATCGAGCATAGAAAACAAACAAGAATGTGTCCACAGTACATGGATGCCCCACTTGTACTATCATTTTCTATGTTCAGTGGACCATGAATTTGGGGTCAAAACTCTTAATTTGGCATTAAAATTATAAAGATCATATCATAGGGAATATGTGTATTAAGTTTCAAGATGATTGGACTTCAACTTCATTAAAAACTACATTGACCAAAAACTTTAACTTGAAGAGGGACGGACAGACGAACGAACGGACACACAGACCGAAAAACATAATCCCTCTAGGTGGGGCTTAAAAACAGGTCATTTTTCCTCAAAATTCTACCAATTGTAAGCTTGATTTTTCATATTTTTGTTGCTCTTAATTGACTGGGTACCAGAATGTCCTACCACAAAGTATGTCACCTGTTGAAAAATTATATACTTCAGAGTCAAAAGTTAGTAATGAGAAAACAGTCTATTGATTATTATTTTAAACATGAAGCACAAAACAATATGATAAAAATCATAATGATATATATTTATTTACAAATAATTTTTCATTTCAGTTTATGAATACAAATTTACATTCCTCTACAAATGCAGGTCATTAATGGACAACAATGACAGCTCGACCATGAACAAAAAATAGAATTGCACTATTAATCAAAAATGTTCCATGGTCTAAAAGTTTAAACCCATTGGTAAAAATTTGAAATTATTTCAACAATTAGCTAAACCCATCCAACATAGCAAGCTTTAAAAGGCCCCAAAACCCAAAATGACAAATGTAAAACAATTCAATCAAGAAAACTAACAGCCTCATTTATGTAAAAAAGACAATAAATAAAAAACAAATATGAAATACAAGAACAAACGACAACCACTGAATTACAGGCTCCTGACTTGGGACAGGCACATACAGATTGTGGAGGGTTTATTTGTGTATTGAATACAGATTGAATATATCTTAAGCTAAAATTGTCCTCAGATATTATGAAAAATATCAGACCCTATTTATTGGGTGGGAGGGGGTTTAAAATCCCCCATGTAGATTTGAAAAGTTGGCAGGTATGAAATAGTATAGTTATTGATCTCTTAATTTCAAAACTTATGACTGGTTTCAGCAATCATGGCAATTTAGTTAGTTTTAACAAATCAAAGTTAAAAAGTCTAGTTCATTCTTTAAGAAAAAACTTTTTATCTATTATTCCCCAGACCGTACATAGTCAATACTTTCATCAGGTCTTCTCTATTGGACCTCATTTTTTGCTCTAGTACAAGATTCTTGTGTTAGAGATAAAGGAATAGATCAATATTCCTTTTTTATTCTTCTATGATCATCAGCAACCAAAACAATATTCATCCAACATCATTGTTTAACCTTGCAGTTAAAATACTGTGAACCACAGCAGAAAGATGTGGATATCTTTTCTTTTCTTTGATCTCCAGAACAGACCATCTTGAAGATTTCTGGTTGAATTCTCTCCTCCACCTGAAGTGAAAATCATTTACAAAGTAATTCATTATCTTATTGCAAGATAGTAGGTAGATTTAAAAATTTGATGTTGTATAATAGCCAATGAGACAACAATTACGATCCACCAAAGACCAAAGGACAATGATGTGATTATGTAGAAATGCATTGTATAGACGGGTTTATCTATAATTGACCTAGAAAACATGGGCGCATCCATTAACCTCTCACGTGACCGATCCGCCATTACAACCGTGAAAAATAACGCACGTGTATTGATCAAAACATTATCGATTTTCTGTTTACATTTGTATTTCCTTCATTTTCTTATTTATTTCACTATGGATACTGCCAAAAGTTATAAAAAAAGGTGGAGGCATTTCTTGTGCAGTTAATATTGGTCCAAATAATTGTAGAAAATTTCAGATGTGCAAAAAAAAAATCAATAAATAAAATATGTGAACTAGACAAGTTGTGCCGACTGCACACAATCCTTTTTTTTTTAATAAAACTTTTTATGAAAGTAAAATTACACTGGCAGACGAATGTTGACACGTCGTCAAACGAAATTATCTATGAAAATTAATCCGATGACTACAGTGCATCTGCCTCTGTGTGTATAGAAGATCTGCACATTAGATGGATCTAGGATTTTGAAAGGGGGGGGGGGGGGGGTCCGCAAACAAGACACAATTTGTAGCGGAAGCGGTAAAAAGTCTGAATTAACCATATGAATGAAGCTTCATAAGTGGGCCTGGGCACCCTCTAAATCAGTTCCTGCACATTTCTTTAGAAAATAATAATGAAACCTACCCCGAGCCGCGGGTATACATGCATGTAGTTATAATTGGATGCAAATCAAACAAGTATGAAGAGACGATTTTTTTTTATACATGACGACTATCTTTAGGCTACAAAATGGACAGACGTTCTGACAACATAAACTCAGACAAACATATTGTTAACAAAGGAGAAAGGAGTTCAAAATTGAATAAAATCAGGAAACCACGTCAGCGTATAAATAGACATATTATGAATGACAGTTACGCCTTATTGTATACTTGTCTTATGTAACTAAGTTTTCTGTATACTTTAGTGGAATAAATACACAATTTACTTTTCAACTACGATATTGCAGATCAGCTGTTGCTCGATCGTACTGATTTAAAGATTAACACTTAGTTTGATGTTTGGTTATTTGGGACGGCGCTTTCATATTTCGAAAAGTAAGGCTAGTAAACTATTTTATTCCTGGATGCCAGTTCTTGCTGAAAAACTTAAAGGTTTTACAAACAGCTGCATCCATAGACAAATCACAGCAAAACTTACTATTAACGGCACTTCTCTATAAACCTCGTCTTAATGGTCCATATATGAAGGAATGTGTGTTTAAAGTTTATATTCACTTTAGTCGGATGGTCCAATATACATCCCTAATGTATACGTAATACTGTAATTCTGTATTTCACTGTATTATATATATCGGGGACTTATAAAGGAGTCTAATACAGATTCAGGATGAAAATATACGAGACCTCTGTTTTGGGATGGTGGGGAGGGGGGAATTGGCAAAACACTAAATGACGCTTTTAAAACATATAATTCTAATCATTGCTTTTAATTAACACGTTGGAGTCTTTTGTGGTTAAATGACATTCATTTATTTTAAGCATGGACCGGAACATGATGTTATACTATGCATACTAGTACTTTTATGTCGAGTAATTTTCTGCAAAAGAAATTGGAATCGAACACCTAGCTAATAACTATATGATTACATGGGCCGTGAAAGTTCAAAACTCTTTCGGCCCACTTAAATCGCAAAGTTAAGTCTAATTTTGGCCCGACGCACTGATAGCATACAGCGCAATTCATGCGGAGACAAAAGTGATTCGAAAACGTCACTCAATTTTGAGCAGTATACCACAAGAAAAAAAAATCGTTTCTGTGAAAAAGTTTATCATCAAACGGTACATGTCTATAGGTATATTTTTTTCAGAAGATGTAAGTAACCGCGCGCCGGAGAAAACGGGCTGTCGAATATAGGACCGTCGGGTTAGAAGATTGTTGAATTTTAGGACTGCCTCATTATAGGTTTGCATGACTACAGAAATTTCTATGAGTTCGATAAAATTGCACCTGTTTTTTTTTATTTATCACATTTGACCCGCAAGACAATTTATTTTTATTTATGTATGTGTTATGATAATCAATATTATGATTACCAAATGATTATAATCGATGATGTATCAAACCTGGGATTCGTATACGCAAATATTATGTCGCGGTTCTAACGTATCAAATAAAATGAGTTATATTTTAAGGACACGACACCTGGCCTGCAATACACTTATAATTTTAATGTCCATTCCTTATCTAATTACTTTATTATTTATTTTGTAATTTTGCCGAGGTCAAGTACGCTTCACATTCTTGTGTTTACGTTAATTATATGCGGTCTGGGGAAAAAGATGTATATCTTGTTTACATTTTTTTCACGGTTGTAATGGAGATCGTACTACAACGACGCCTAGGAGTCGAGTCACAAACTAAGGCAGATAATTGGAAAAACCTGTCTATATATCTGAGGTATACAAATTATTGATGTGACTTACTGTTACATGAAATTTGACTTAGTGACCTAAACATATTTAAGCACTGTTTTTTCAGAAGACCCATTATTAACCAACGATTAATGAAAAATTTTGACAATTCATAAAAACTGTGATCTCTAATACACATATCAATTAATAGCTTTAACCAAGAATTTGCAGATCTATAAACATAGTACTGGCATAGTGTGAGCAGGGCATGATTCATTTTCTTGCTTTTTTCATTTTTGTTTTGTTTTTATTTTTTGGGAGGGTGATAAATACCTAGGAGTTCCATTATCCTTTGTAAGAGCAGGTCTACCAACATGGATGTTATGGTCCAAAGCAGCCAACTGATTTCTCACTCGATACACATCTGGACTGTAGACATGTGGTTTGGAAGTATAGGCAGAAATAAGGTTTTGGAAGGATTCCAAATCTGAGATGCTCCTGAAAAAAGCATTTCAGAAAATACTGTTATATGGAATGTAATTCAGTTACTATGTTTTACATACAGTATTCATCCATAGACTAAGAAATCAATAGAGGTCTTTTTCACCCTCAACAGTCATTATCCACTAAAGATTGGCAAGGATCTGATTACAACTCAACACATAATTTCATGTCCAGAAACAAAATATTATCCACAAATGTTTGGAAGATTGTTAAAAAAATTGGACATATAAACTGATGACACAAAGATATGTCCTGCCTGTATGATATTATGATAGAAAATGCAAATATGGAAATAAAAAATATTGTAAAGCTTTATCATGGAATCTATGCAATACATACTAATATAAAAATAAGGAAATGCAGTATGATTTCTAATGAGACAACTATCCATCAAAGTTCAATGAACTACTACTAAAGGCGCAGGGTCATATATTCTCCATGGAAATACTTATACAACTGCATAACTAATATCACTGATCACAGTGGCAGATCCAGGAGGGGTAGGGTGGTTCTTGGAACCCCCCTTTGGGGACATATGGTTGGAACCACCCTTTATCCTGGGTTGGGAACCCACCTTTTGAAAATGGCTGGATCCGCTCCTGGATCATACATTAGTGGTTCGACTTAAACTGACCTAATGACAAACTTTCACATTCAAACTAGAACACGATTTAAGGGGTATAGCCAAATAATCCCCATGGATATGATACATACCAATGCTGATCATTAATACCAAATACCATTGACTAACCAATAGTGGTTCCCTTTTAACTGACCTAATAATCACAATTTTTAACAAACAGTTGACGCCAATGCCTCCCACAACAGAAGCAGCATGCTGAAGTCTTGCCTCCACTACTTGTTATAAACCAGACCTTTTCACTAGCGAAATTTATACTCCCTTTACATGCATTGTAGTTGCTGCTGTGAAATTCAGTAATGACACAATGATAATTTGAGATTTTTGGCTTTCAACCATATCAAGGTAAAAGTGAAACATTTCCTGGGTCAAAGTCAAAGCAACCATGACCTTTTCTTACTGACAAATCACCTTCCCATAATACATCTGCACACTTAGTTTGGCTAAGTTTGGATAACCTTAGTTCTCCAGAAAACAGTAGTGTCTTAAACACAAATAACTATCATAGAGGTCAAGGTCAGATGACCTGATTTTGTTTTTTTTTTTACACATCCAGATTCAATGATGCTTCTTCATACAAAATTTTATCAATCTAAGATCTATGTAACAAAAGTTATGTACCAGACACAAAACAGGATAAACAGACACAGACAGACAGACAAGGTGATTCCTATATACCCCCAAACTTTGTTTGCTGGGGGTATTAATATGCAATATATTTGGATTTACAAAACAACATTATTAGTACCTTCTTTTAATTTGTCATTTTATCAAATGAAATGCAAACATACCTGCAATTCAAATAGTAAGGTATGTCTTTTAACAGCTTGATATCCATAACAATGTAGCGCAAGGCAATATGAGCATCTGATCCTTTTTCCATATATGTTTTTTCACTTTCTTCAGACAATGGTCCATGGTTGCATTTGTTGTTGTCAAATGTGTCGTCATATGACAATAACCAGGTGTGCTCATTTACAACATGGTGTAAAATTTTAAACCAAGAACCCTGAAATAATTTAACAACTAATTCTAGACACAAAATTAAACAAAGAGACTGCTGCTCAATAATTTTAAAATATTTTCCCTACTACTATGATTTATTTTCATGGATAACAATTTGTTTCGTGCAATTGAAGAAAATGTACATTTCTTGTGGATATTTAATTTCTTGGTTTTGCCGAAGTCTGCTATAAAAAATGTAATTTGTGGTTCACCTGTACCCATGATATCCACGAAAAATGGGTATCCAACAAATAATAAAAAAACCCACAGTATAAGACAGTTAAGTTGATATAATAAATAATGAAAACTATAAAATTTAATGTAACTATCATAACATTTAAAGAAAAAAAAGATAGTTGGGTATACATGACAGTGCAGTAACCAAACAAAAAATAATAATCTAAAGCCAACTAGATTGCCTATACATAATGTTGAGCTTTAAATCCTACCGAGTCTATTGAGTTTTAAAACAAAATGTAATTGAAACAATCAAAGATTAACATTAACAACCCATCCTTTGTTTCTGAAATTTATTTGACAAATTGGCTCACTCTTTAACAACTCCTCTTTTCTATGCTAGGTTTTGTATTAAATTCACCTTAAATTCACCTTGGTTTTTACTAACAGATGCACAATGCCAATAATGATTTATAATTTCTTTTGTCCACTCGTATAATTGTATGTTTTTCTTCCCTCTTTTTTGAGAAACCTGCAACCAAAAGAAAGAAAATTATATATCCATAAATACAAGTCAATGAATACAATTGAACATTTGCTACATGTATGAAAACTTCACATCTGTCAAGCTATTATCAAATTCTCTATCATTCTATGTGGAAAATGGGTTGTCCCAAGTCAGGAGCCTCTTGCCTTTGTTAGTCTTGTATGTTTTTTAATTTTAGTTCATTTATATGTTTTGGAGTTAAGTTTGACGTCCATTTTAACTGAATAAGTACACATTTTTATTTAGGGGTCAGCTGAGGACCACCACCGGGTGCGGGATTTTCTCGCTGCATTGAAGACCTATTGGTGGCCTTCAGCTATTATTTGCTCTTTGATCTGGTTGTTGTCTCTTTGCTATAATCCCCATTTCCATTCTCAATTTTATATTTCCTCTTCTACATTATACCCAATATCAATTCTATTACTGTAAATTCAGAAATTATTGCGTGCATTTATTATTGCGATTTTGTCATTTTTGACTAAAATGCGATTTTAATTTTTGCGATATTGAGAAAAATCCTGTTTAATTCATATAAAAAATTTCAAAATGCGAGTTTGAATTATTGCGATTATAACCCTGTCGCATTTTTCGCAATAATAAAAACATCGCAATAATTTCTGAATTTACAGTATATAATGTTAATACATGTATCTGATTTAAAGATAAAATGACAGCCCTTGTATTATTTAAAACACTTTTTTTTTCCGTTACTTTGCAGTAGTAATCTTTATGAACATCACAAAATGCAAATATCTAAACTATAATATGCTTACCTTTATAATTTTCTTTCCAAGATTTCTGATGCCATGCCAAATGTCAAAGGAGTGCTTAATTTTAGCATACTGTGGTTTTTCTGGAAAATAAATATGTTTTTTTTTAAATAAAAAAAACAATTGCACATTTTCAATATAGCAATTAGGTGACATGAGCCTTCATCCATTTAGGACTTCAGTTTGCCAAGTGATCTTAGCAGTTCATTGACTGTATTAATAGCCTGTCAACACTGCGGTTGTGAGTTATAACTCTGCACCAAGCAGGTGCCTTGACTTCAATCTTTAAATTGACTACAATTGTCAGTCTTCCTGCTTTATGTCATCAGCTCTCTACAGGCAACCCACCTTCTCTACCAATTAAAGTACCATAACCGCAACGACATAGGCAATACTGCTGAAAGTGGCATTAAACACGTATTTATTACATTTGCATCATCATACAAATCTGACCTTTCAAATTAAAAATCTGTCCTGCAAAAGCATAACAAAAATTGTCTTATGATAAGCAAGTAATAAAAAATTCATGAAGCAACCACGTAAAAACCAAGCAAAACATTGTTATTGAAAAGTGTTTATTTTACCATGTCATGCACTTACTCATTAATGCTCTTATCTCTTGGTGTGAATCAGTTACAACTTCTACAATATTTAAACCAGCATCTGTCAAAATCTTTAAACCTTTTTCAAAACACCTTTTCTCCAGACTGGTATTTTTGCCCTCAGTCATTGGATTATCCATTGTCACAATACACAGTATCTTCTTTGTTTTCATTTCCATAAATGTGTAAGTACAGTTATGTGTGCAGTGGTCCATCCTACTGTCACCTGTAAAACAACACATAGAAAAAAAAACATCAGTTAAAGAAGAATTACAAGACCAATATGAGAAATGTTATACCTGTTTCATTCATCCTTGACTAAAATTAATTTGGCTCGTTCAATTTTCATAAAATTTTGACAAAATATTATCTTTGACCCTTTGACAAAAAAATTAAAATTTCAAAAACTTGAACCATGCAATAAGTTGGAAAAATTTCCTTGGATACATATAGCAGAATGACAAAAAATTATTTTGATCATTGAGAAGCTTAATATTTCCTTACAATAGAATGTGATTAAAACGTTCAGCTGATTTTAACAGAGTTATCTCCCTGTAGTGTAATGTACTACCGTAATTGAGCTTTTTTTCTACTGTAAATACACTTTATAATGCATAAACAAGTACTGTGGATTCATTTTTACTCGGGGGATATCCAATTTTGTGGATTTCATGGAAAATATTTTTTGTCTCCAAATTTTCTAAAGGCCTGTATACTCGGGGGATATCAAATTTTGTGGATTTCATGGAAAATATTTTTTGTCTCCAAATTTTCTAAAGGCCTGTATGCAGACTTAGGAAACCACAAAATCAAATATCCATAAAAAAAACTTTTCCTCAAACCTTAAAAAATCAGTATCCCCGAATAATAATGAATCCACAGTATCTGGCAAAAATAACTAAATTGTCAAAAGAGACAACAAATACATAAAAAATAGAAATAAGATTGAAATAATTTACACTTTATGCCATCATAGTCATCCATAAATAAAATTTACTGTGACTTGACGGTAAGTGTTACTCTCCACCTATTGCAACTCACTCAAAATTCTGATCCAATTGCAATATTAAAAGTTGAAAATAAGTTTCCATGGGAGATAATCTAAAATCCTTTATTTTTTGAAATATTGCTACTATCTCCTTTTAAAACTTTAAGAGAAACTGTTTAAGCTGAAATTATACTTCACAAAAAAGATTTATTCATTTAAAGAAAGATTTATTCATTTTAAGAAAGCTTTGTAGCATGCATGGAAAACACCATTTTGTAAGAAATAATTCAAAAACTTAAATTGGGATATTTTGTTTAGCAATTCAAAAAATTCACCATTTGAATGACTCTTAACAATAACAAGGATTTGTATAATGTACAAATCCTTGACAATAACAATATATAAATAAATTTGGTGTATGTACTGTCTTCTGATTGGTTAAAAATATTACCTTTATTTTCAATGTTGTCAATTTTTATGGCGACACGCCCACTCTGACGTTGTGTAATCATACGCAAACATGTGTGTACGTTGTTATTGTTAATATAAATAATATAAAAAGCTCTTTGAGCCTTATTTTTGATAGAAATTTATTTATAATGAATGACTATTATTTATTTTGAATTTATTGAACCATAAAATAAATTTTTGACTCTTCACATTTTACATAATCCGCTTCACAGATTATTCAATGTGAAGAGTCAAAAATTAATTTTATGGTTCAATAAATTCAAAATAAATAATAGTCATTCATTAAATATAAAAAAAAGTCAGCCAAATTTTCATAATATCAATGAAGCAGAATTAAAGTCTTATTATATCATAAGTTAATTTATTTATCCACCTTGCACTTTGATATCTTAACAGTTAAGCATTTAAGTTTGAAAAAAGCAATTGCAATTGGGTCAGAGTTTTTAAAGAACTGCAACAGGTGGAGAGAAACACTTACACTCAAGTCCCTGTAAGAAATTATATATTTTGTAAGTATACATATACTGATTACATAATGATTAAGCGCTATTTTTTGTTAAAGAATTCATCCATGAGCAAGTGAATTTCAAAGTAACTGTCTTCTTGGCCTTCAAATCAATTTGTTATCAAATGTCTATGCCAAGTTAGTAGAGCATGATTGATAAATTATTATGTAAGCGCTTTTGTCACCATAAATTCTTTAATGGATAAATAAGATTCTGTTATGAAGTACAATCAGTACCTATAGAATACAAACTGGATGTAACATCACAATTTTCTTAATATTGGTGCTTTGAATAAAATTATTCTTCATGGTTTCTATTAAACATTATAACAAAGTCTGTAAATATTGTATTCATTGGTACTAACTTTTGAGGATTGTAAGTCAAAAAGTTTTTCTTGAAGACTGTTCCTTATCTTTATGTTAAGTTAATATATTACCTAATACTATAATTTCCTTTCTGCCAAACTCTGTATAAATATCCTCAAGGTACTTCAGCCAATGCTCGTCAATTGATGGCACAATGTAGGATTGCTGTATTTTATTAAATGTTGATGAATTCAATGTAGGAAGGCCTAGTATCTTGCAAAACAATTCTATTTTTTGGAAATCATTTCCTGACAAAACTGTTGCAGAGGCCAACATCAAATCTCCACTATGCATTCTCCTGTTTAAGAGTGGTTGTGAACACCACTTGTTCAGTATATGACCTTCTCTGCACACCTGATATTGAAATCAAAATGGATTGGTTAATTGCAAGTAATTTGAAAAATAAAGTATACATTTTGCCCTTAGAATGAATCAAAATGAGAAATCAGAATAAATTGTTTCATAAGGAGTAATGATAAAAAAGCCAAACTTTGGCATTTGAAATTGCATAAATAGTGATATTATTGAAGCCTTCAAAATTACATTAATTTTATTGGTAATGAACAGGTTGATATAATCTGGACAATTGAGTGAAGAAAGGTCAATTATGGTGTTACTATATATGATGTCCTAAACATGTTTAAAATGACATCTTAAACCTGAAATTTTAATTTTACACATCAATTTTGGTAAAACTAGATACATGTATGAGCCAATGCATTGCTCATATTTTTTTTTACACACATTGGTATTTGTAAAAGACTTATTGTAGGAAAATATGTTTTTGGTATAGTCTTGGCTCATATCATATCAGATTCAGATTCTAAAGATAACTAATATTGCATTAGTGTTTTCCATTACAAATCATATGATAATATACAAAACAACATTTCAAAGTTTTACATGTAGTATATAATAATACAATTGTACACATAATTTTAAGAATTGTTTCTTATTTCTAATGCATCTCTAATAAATTTGTATAAATAATTACATTCAATATTTTGTGGATTTAAAAGTTTAGAAACTGAAAAATAATTATTATATATGAATCTTTCAAATCTAAACCATAAGATTGGAAAAAAGTTTGCCTTATATCTTTATATTTATGACAAGATATCAAAACATGTTCTTCTGTCTCTACATTAGTGCAGAATTTGCAAAAAACGTTCTTCTCTTTGAATTTTGGGTTTATTATATCTACCTCGTTCTATATTTAAACAATGAGCACTGATACATAGTTGTGTAATTTTACTTCTTATATTTTAGGCAAGATTGGTTTCAAGATAGAATCTCAATATAGAATCTCAATATAAAAGATCTCAGAGTCAAAATGAAGCAATTTTTGCTAAATTTTAAATGCATGAATTTTTTTGGTTTTTTAATTGTTTTTCAGTTCAAGTAAGCTTACCCAGGTTATGTAAAATGCAGATCCAATAGTTTCTGTTTTCAAATCAACCTGCCTTTTGCAATTAGACATTGTACATATCTGCTCTGTATTTGTGTTGGCCAGCATCAACAGGCAATCTCTGTAAACCAAGAGTGGTTGTTCTGAAATAAACTTGTCAACATTTTTCATTGTTATTCTCTTCACTCCTGGACCCATATCTATAGCTGCCTCTTCTGACTTGACCCTTTCAACTGTGTCATCCTCATCCTCTTCAATTTCCTGTTCCACTGAGTTATTAACAATATTTGGTCTGGAAATATAAAATGTTTAAATACTGTTACTTTAATGTATAATAAAATGTTGACACATAGAGATGTCTCACCTGTTGTAAGATCTTGTAATTTAGATACATGTAATATAATAAAATGCAAGTGTTGAGTATCTTGAAAAGTGAGAAAAAAAATATGATTCAAAGTTGATAAACAAGAATATTAATCATGACACTTCACACTACTGTAAATTCAGAAATTATTGCGTGCATTTATTATTGCGATTTTGTCATTTTAGACTAAAATGCGATTTTAATTTTTGCGATATTGAGAAAAATCCTGTTTAATTCATATAAAAAATTTCAAAATGCGAGTTTAAATTATTGCGATTATAACCCTGTCGCATTTTTCGCAATAATAAAAACATCGCAATAATTTCTGAATTTACAGTATCATAGATCCCATGTTTACAAACCATGAAATCTGTTTGTTTGATTGTGAGATTAACACCATTTTCAATGATCTTGACTACATAATGACAGCCAGATTTTAACAGTGGATGAAATCCGTGTCAAAACCCTTATTTGCCCTCATGCATTGTTGATCATAGGTAGTTTTGGTAATTCTGTTTTGATATGTTTTAGTCATTTATCTCCTAAAGTATTTATACATCCCTGGTGTTCAATGTTATGGGTTTATAGAGCATTCCCGATTTAGGTAAATCCAGAAACACTCAAATGCAAGTAAACTTTCTCACACCTACTATTTAGGGATTCACCTACTAAAGGCCCCTTCTTAGATTCAATTCATGGATTAAGTACAATGTAACTCCCTAAAAGTTTGGATGCAAGAACAGGTGCAGATCCAGGATTTGATGTTAGGGGACCCTCCTGAGAATTTGGAGTTAAGAGGACCAGATTTTGACAAAAGTACAGTAATTTTACCTATAAATTTCATTTTTTTTAGGGGGCGTGCACCGGATGCGTACTATCTGAAACTGTGCTTGGAGTATCTAATAATTCAAATCAATCAACATTATTTTTAGAATCACAGAACTTGATTCCAAATGACTAGCTTACCTTAATGTTATGTTGAAACTAGGTTCATAGTCTTCATCAGATGTCTGATCAAAGTCATCAAAATTTTCAGAAATATCAATACTGAAACTGAAATAAGATAAAATAGTATCAAGATATAACGTGTCACAGGGTTCTCACTAAGGCGAGTCCATGAGTCCACTTTCAAGTCTCATGAAAGTTTGTACGGACTCATCATTTTCAAAACTGGTGAATCCAAAGATGCATCAAGATTGTTAAATGTTGTATCAACTGAGAACACATATATTATCATCTTAAAGCAAAAGTTTAAAAATAATCTTAATTTGATGTAATTTCCTTGAATTGCTTTATTTTGTCATGAAGACTAATGATAAAATTATATAGCACTGAAATTTTTTTCTTCTCATTGTTGGACTCGCCATGGACATGAAGGAGAAGTCATTGGACTCGCCTACAAAAATCTATAGTGAGAACCCTGATAACCACACTTAAACAATTTTTTTTAAATAAAACTACAAATTGACAGTCACAAATTGTATGTTCAAGAAATTTTTTCACACAAAATACAAATTTTCAAAATGATAAAAAAATAAAATTAAAGTGTTCTTAACCATGCAATTTTTGATACATTATGTCTGTAGGCATCTTTTTAAATATAACCTGATAACAGAAAATGGTATTTTTGCAAATAATAAACAACTTACTCAAAAGGATTAATTAAGTTTTTGGATTGTTCAAATGTACACTGCTTTCCACATTCTGAATCTGCTTTGTTCACAGCTTCTAACCTAGACATTTCTGGCACTCTGAAAAGTTATAAAAATACAAAGTATAACTATAAAAACATCAATGTGGTATGTCAAAAGTGAATTTTAAACTCCCACTTTAAAGCATTCATGTTTTCTGTCTGTTTGTCCAATGAATATTTTCTTAACTTACTACTTAGTACACTTAAATGTGTGAAGTTTAAGTTTTAGAATCTGTCAGCAATATACTTCTTATTTTCCATTCTTCAAATTATCAGTGGAGTTATGCTTAGCACAACAACTGCAACTTCTTGTTTTATTTGATGAGAATTGATTAAACAGGATTGAATGCAAAACTAACTGAAAAAGATTAATAAACTTTTGGGATTGTTCAAACATACTCTGCTTTCCACATGTACAAAGATGAAAATATCAAAAACATCAAATTGTGTTTTTAATTCACTAGAATAAAGTTTAAATCAAGATTGAAAAAATCAGTATATATAGTTAAATTTCACATACATGTACATACGACCTGCTTCCTGGTCTGAACAGGATATCTTTGATACATCTGGTTTTACATCTGGTTCTATGAATCTTGCTGGTTCCTGGGCAGAACAGGACATCTCTGATACTACTGGTTCTATGAATCTTGCTGGTTCCTGGTCGGAACAGGATATCTCTGATACATCTGGTTCTACATCTGGTTCTACTTTGAATCTTGTTATCAAATTGTTAGTAGTTTCCATAATTTCTGAAACATAATTGTTCTGTACAGATGGCCCTGCTGAAGTTGAGGCACTACTTTCATGCCATGATGCTCGATTCCATTTACTACCATCATACCTTTAAAATATAACATACATTTGTAAAGAACTTGCATGTTTACTCTTTAAAATCATCAGTGGTGGATTCAAGGAGTGTAGAAGGTGTAACCCCCCTTTTAATTTGAAAATATATCATTTCTTAGCATTAAATCATTCTAAAATAATTTCCCATCGCTCAGCTCTGCCTTATGTATTCAATTTTAGAGAATTGCATCCTCCCCTTTCAAAATTCCTAGATCCACCACTGATCATTTGGTTTACAGGTAATTGGTTTTAAAATAAACCTTTGATAGACTCAGGTTAATTAAGAGTTTGACATAGTTGTATAAAAATTTGTTAATTATTGAAGACTGTATGGTGCCATAAATTAACATCCAGTCTGAAAAGACTTTAAATCAGATGCCTCTAATGTAGGCCGAGTGTCATGTGCATGCTTTCTGCATACTAATGAACCCTTGCTACAACTCTTTAAGAGGAGCACTGCAAAGGTGGCCTGCAGCAAGGCAACATTTCTGCATGCATAATTCATGATTGATTGATTGATTGATGTTTTAACACCACTTTCAGCACTATTGGCTATTTCATGGCAGTCAGGGTTACTTTTTATTGGTAGAGGAAGATTGAGTGCATGGAGAGAACCAATTACTTTTGGTAGGAAATTAATATTAGAGTAAAACGTGCCTGCCACATGCTGGATTTGAACTAACAACCTCAGTGTTTACAGGCTTAAGTGATACAGTAGTTAGACTTCTTTAATAGACCACTCGGCCACCAAGGCCCTGCATGTCATTGTCAAGAATCAGTCCGGTCGATATTGTGCATGCGTGAATTCAGATACCCTACATGGATAAAATCGTTATATAGAAGTTATATGGAAAATAACCTTTACAAGACGATATTCAATTTTCTTCTCAGTTGTTTTCTTAGGTGCTTCGATCAACAGAATCCTTAATGTGTCTTCTTTTTAATGATATAAATTATTTTAAAATAAAGTTTGAACTTCTTGCTACAAATTTGGATTTTTTACAGTGATGTCAAATGGCTTACATTTGCCGTTATTCTTACAGAATAATTTCATTATTCGGAAGAGTGGTCAGCTTTGACAAAATAAATAAAATACTTTTACTGATGATATACCTTCGCTGCTGCGACCAAGAAAAAGATGAAAAGTTAAAGTTTAACGTGATGTAGTTTATTTTCAAATTGGTTATTTTCTTCTTGCAACAAATTTGATTTAAAAGTAGGCGATTTTTAGTTTTTTTTTCTATCAATTTCTACTTGACAACAGGATACATAGTGTGTGTAAACAGATAGTAACCTGTTATACAATCGTGTTTATACAGTCATGCTGAGACATAATATATTCCCAGAGTCATGTAATATAGTGTAAACGACATTTTGTATTAAAACTTGATTTAGGATCATTTAGGCTTGAAGGAATTGCAAAACACTATATCAGATATGAAATTAACGTTTTTATAATTGAAGATATTATATTCTAAGTTATTATTTTTTTGTTTCTGTTATCACGTGGTTATAACCGATAATTAATTAATATGAGCTAGAATGCAATCGAAATCTAAAATGAATTATATTAAATAAATGCTTGTTCATTTAGATTTTTTATCAATACACAATAACAATTTTTAAATTTTTTTTTTCAATGGAATTAAATGGTTTCTATTCACATTTAATTCAAAAAAAAAAGAAAAAAGAAGATGTTGTATATGATTGCCAGTGAGACAACTTTCCACCAGTGACGAGTTGTTTAAATATTTTAACTGGTACTGTTGGCTCGTTTTCTTGACAATCCTTATATAATCTTTTTTTAGGCAATTCTAACACGATTTGAGTACACAATCATATAGGAGAACAATTCCATTTCGTCGCACTTTTAATAAAGAGTGCATAAAAACAACATTTAGAATACTCCACTGAATTCGACCACTTGATACGACAAGATGAAATCAGATAATACATTTTACATCAAACCGAGTTTCTGTTATTTAATATTTCTTAAAACTAAAACACGAATAATATGTGTGCACAATAAATTGAAAGTTTGCGGCACCTTTCAAGACCCGTTTATTAGTTGTAGAATACCTTCATGATTTAAATTTACATTCGCCGTCAAAAAGACACTTGTTGATGACAAAATAATCGAAATCTGAGACTACTATAACACATATGTGTTATAGTAGTCACAGTCGAAACTAACATAATCTAAATACCAGAGTATTCTTGTATAAAATGAAGAAAAAAACATTTTATAGAATTCCCTTGTCATTTTTTTTTTACCACAAGCTTTTCACCTCAATTAAAATTCATTGAACCGAAGCAATATTTTATAAAAAGTGTCAATAATTTCTTCACAAAACGATATAGATTGCTAGCTTTGAACAGGTACTTATGACAATTAACATGTCAGCTTCAGGGTATATACCTGTGGATATATGGTGGAAACGATGTTGGAAGTTTGTAATATTTTGTAAAAAACAGGAAAGGGTCAATAAATATGACATTTCCGAGATATCGTTTTCAAACGTAAAAGGGGGAGGGGGGTGGTTCCGGGGGTACGAACCCCCCTTTTTTTTATGATGAATGCTTTTGAATAGGGACATATGGTTGGAACCCCCTTTTAAAAATGGCTGGATCCACCCCTGAACTTAGAAGTTAATGCAATAATTTACAAAATAAGACGATGTGGTATGATTGGCAATGAGACAACTTGTCACCAGAGACCAACGAACGTGGTTGTAAGCAACTATAAATTACTGTACTGCCTTTACAAATGAGCTAAACCCATATCGTATAGTAAGCTTTATAGGATAGAATTGAGAATGAAAACGGGAAATGTGTCAAAGAGACAACAACCCGACCAAAGAGCAGAAAACAGTCCAAGGCCACCAATCTTGGGTCTTCAACGCAGCGAGAAAATCCCACACCCGAAAGCAGGCTTCAAGCTGGCCCCTACACAATAATGTATACTAATTCAGCGAAAAGGACGCCACACCAAACTCCGAAACATATAAATGAACCAAAATTAAAAAAAACACACAAGACTAACAATTAAAAGGCTAGAGGTTCCTGACTTTAGGACAGGCGCAAAAAATGCGGCGGGGTTAAACATGTTTTGTGAGATCTCATGTTAAATGTCGAAACAATTAAAACGAAAAAAAAAATAACGAACTGATTTGTGCTAAAACAATAACAACAACAAAATAAATATTTCAGACAGCAACAAACGACAACCCCATAAATACAAGTAATTTGTTCCTGACTTAAAAACAGAAATATAAACCATGTTGCGGAGTGCTCACCCCTATCTTAATGATAAATCACACTGAACCTGGGGCAGTTGGATAACAGCACGAATGTAGGACAGAAAGTCACAGGACAAAAAGTCACAGACAAAAAGTCACAATTCAGTTTTGAGATTATTTTTCTTTAACAAGAAAACACTTATTAAAAAAAAAAACATTTTTGTACTTTTCTTGAACTTTATAGTATATAAAGCAACTTTGTAAACAAAATTTATATAAAAAAGTATTTATAATGATCAAATAATTGTTATGGAAACAAAATGTCAAGGTGAGTTGGTACTTAAACGCCTTCATGGTGCCAAGAAATATATCTTTTGCATGATTAAAATTTAACAAATCTTCATTTATCAAGTCTAATGAACAATTTCCTCAACTGTAAAATAAATATATTTAATAAAAAGTAAATATTTAAAGATCTTTCTCTTAAATATTCAAACAAGTGTATACATGTTATTTGTGACTTTTTGTCCTGTGACTTTTTGTCCTATCAAATTTGTGACTTTTTGTCCTGTGACTTTTTGTCCTGCACATCCAGCATACATATAAAAAATAAAGAGATGTGGTATAATTGCCAATGAGACAACTATCCACCAAATTTCAATTAAAGTGGATGTAAGCAATTATAGGCAACCGTATGGCATTCAACATTGAGAAAAACCCATACCGTATAGTCGGCTATAAAAGGCCCCAACACGAAAAAAATGAAACAATTCAATTGAGAAAACTTACGGCCTAATTTATAACAAAACAATTTACGAAAAACAAATATGACAGACATGAACCAACAACAGTTCACTTAACTCGAGGAAATGTGATGTTATCATCACTCAATGTATACTGTTCAATTCAATAATTATGAACTGTCAATGGATGTTTAAAATTAAATAATATGACAGACATTCCGAATTCTTGAGGTACTAGTTTTATATATATATAAAAAAAATAATAACCGTAAGACAACGGCTATTCGGCCAATTATATGTAAAATAGTTGAACTAAAATTTCAATTACATTTCTATCAGTTTTATGCTCAATTCATGTTGAATAAGAATATCTATTTTTATTTATATGCATTTTTCATTTTCTTATTTTGGTAAAACATCTCGAATCGTTTCAATGTGTTCAACTGGGACTAATACACTAATTCAGTAGTCCCAGGTTTCAACATAGATCGAATAGGAACTCCCGCCTTCAATTAATCTTACAAACTGCGCCAAAATACAGAAAACATGAATCTAAATTATCTTACCGATAACATCTGGTATTAGTTTTTCACTGAAGTTATCTTTACATATTAGCGGGTGTTAAACCCCTTGATTTTGCGTCTTATCGCATATGTCAAATTAGCAAGTGACCCCATATGGAGCGAGGACGGGTTAACGTCCTTGTCGATACAAAGAATTGTTTTCAAATTGGGTTATCTCCCTTAAACCGGACAGATTCTTGGCAATGTATAATACATGTATAAATCCTAATTTACAGTGGCATTCCAAATTTCCTGCCCCCCAACCTTGTCAACCTCACTTTCAGAATCGACCTATAGTGTTAATTGCTAATTTGTACTTATCCTAAATATGTTGGAAGTATTTGCCACTGAACATTAAACAATCAATGATCAATCAATCAATTAAGATGCCTTATGGTTATGAAAATGCATTAAAAAAATCATTTAACATGTTTAAAAATTCCGGAATTTTTATTCATAGAAATATAAATATTTTGATATATATACATCTAAAAAACATCAAACAATTCAACCGGTATTTGAATGTAAAAATAATGTGCAAAAGGAATCAGGGGGCGAACGTGTGGGGTGCGAACGTGTATTAGGGCGAACGGACCCGATACCAGTGTTTTCAGGGTCACGAACTGTTAATTTCTTTCATTTTTTTCATAGCACCGAGAGTCTATACATGCAAGCTCAGTATTTTTGCTGATAAACCTTACACAACTACATGTACCTGTCGAGTAATACTTTTGCAACTTCAGCGTGAGATTTCGCTCCAATTTCTTCCTTTAACGCAATCCACCGGTCATACTGGCTACCAATGTAGACTTTGGTTTTGTTGATAAGTGCATTTCTTTCTGTCTTTTTCCTTTTTCGGTCCGAATCTGTTAGCGAAATCGGTCTTCCAGCAGGCTTGCCGCGTACTTTCACTTCAGAATCAGCTGACATTGTTCAATTTGAAAGCACGCTTAACACATGCGCAAACAAAGGTTAATTCAAACTTGCAAGACAATAATACAACAGTGAGGTTTTATTTAGCTTATTTTGACAAAACTGGGCCTAACTGCCTGCTATAGAAACCGGTAACTAGAAAAGCGAATTATTATTTCCACTTCCTTTTATGTTTGAACAAATAAAAATTATATTTTTAAAATTTTATTCAGTCAGTTTTATACTCTCGAAGCTAAAGTGATCTAAGATCCGGGGTCTAAGATAAGCTAAGTGCCCCTTTAATTAATCAACTCCTAATAAAGTATTCCATGATTTGTAAAAATCAACCTTTCGATTGTATTGCAACCAAAATATAATAAAACAATTCTTTGTTTTAATATAACGTGAGGGTACCCAAATTGCACCTATTTTGACAGTTTTTTCACCTACGTTAATTATGATCAAGACAAAAATTTCCATTATGTGTTTATTTTGAAGATGTATCCTTATTTACTATATAGTTACACCAATTTTATTTTGAATCCATCTTGAATCATAGGAAAATGGGTTTGAACCGACCTCCGAACGATCCATGATTCTGTAATGAGGATCGAGTACCCAAATTGCATCCATGCTTAAATTTAATTCACATTCTTAAAAATCGAATAATAGATGTCCTGTTTTATTTCTTTAAATATTTAGAACAATTTGACATTAGTCCATGCTTACTATTCATTGTTTTAAGAAATGGATGCTTGTAACATATTTCATTTGCTCATTTTTAAAAGATGACTTTTTGTGGGACGTCACAGTCGCATGGCGACATTCCGTAGATTTTACTTTTTCCAGTGAATACACCATCTATTGATATGCACTATGAACGTTTTGTGCATTTTAAATATATCTATACCTATGTTATAAGATGTGTATAATGTAAAATCTTAAAAATACAAATTGTTTAGTCTCAAAGAAAACTTGTAAGATTTCCGCGGCTGCTATTTTTGCTAAATAGGTGCGATTTGGGTATGATTTAATATTTTTGTATTAAAGTTCACGGCAATTTTCCTCTCATCACTATATATTTGTAAAGTTTGCAATGAATCGAATTAACTCAGTTCTGCAGACCAGTGTCTGATTCAGATTCAATTATATAAATCATCAGCAGCAATATAATGGTGAAAAGTTTGTTGGTGTAAAAAAATAACTGGACTTATGGAGCTACCATTTGATTTTTATGGGGGGGGGGGGGGGGGGGGCTAGGATGAAATTTGAAAAAAATAGGCAGGACAGGAGTTTTGAGTAAAAAAAAAGGGCAGGATAAACTAAAAAAAAAAGGCAGGACCGAATAGAGTGAAAAATAAAAAGGCAGGACCGAATAGAGGGAAAAATAAAAAGGCAGGACAAAATTTTTCATCCTATTTTTATATTTACTGCAGGGTTTGTTACTCGTGCTGCATGTGTTTTGTTATTATAAAACACCCATGCAACCACGCATCCCATAATTGCAAGATAGGACCCGACAATACTTTAGTCTTTCGGCAGTTAAAGCTTGGGATGGTCATCGTAAGATGCATTACTTTAATACATTCAAATATGAAAATTATTCATGTATATATATTGATATATTTATATTTTAATTCTTCATCAATAGATCTAGATATTATGACAGATCTGCCATCATCAGGGGTCCAACTGTCAATCTTATGTTAAAGTCTTTAACTTTCATCCAGTAAGCATGTCTCCCATACTATTATGTCTGCTAAATGCAAATATTGGTGCAACATTGAATACTTGTACACATTCTTCATCAAACTATCCCTGCCCCCTTCTATAGGGTTTACCGTAAGAATTCTTATATTATTCTGTATTTGCTCTGTCCGGGGACACAGTTATCGTCCTTTAATTTTCGTTGTCTTAATAGAGTCCCTAGTGAAGACAGTGTATAAATACATTTTTTTTTCATACACCTTCCAAATTTATTAATTTCTTTATATTTTATTCATAAAATAGTATGTAGGGGTGAAATTACACGTAAAAACAATTTGGAGCACGGAATTTTTGGTACAAGAGTGATTTGGTCAAGTTTGAAAAGGTCAAACTGAATTATAGACCCCTATACATCAAATTGTCTATATGTTTAGTTACAGCCGATAGACTTTTAACTAAAATTATTATATAATTTGTCCGTAAAATAGTACACTACACTGTAAATCTTTTGTAAAGATAGAGCAGGTGCGATTTTTTTTTTATTTGCGTTTACATTGTCTTATAAAAATGCACTACGAAATAACTAAATACACCACTGCTTCAACGATATTCACGTGCTAAAAAAAATGCATTCCTAAAGTAAATTCAACCGCCGTCAATCGAAATTCCCATTCTAAATTCAGCACTTTCCACAATTGTGTCAAAGCTGGCAATGTCGCTGCAGCCAGATAAATTTATTGAATACAAATGCACGTGGATATCCACAAATATTCCCGTGCAATTCCAGAAAATGACTAACCTGTTCTAGATTGTCTTCTTATAATACTGTTAGGTCAACAGTGAACGGGAGAACTTTTTCGCTATATTTTCCTGTGACATTACCACAGGCACTTGTCTCTGAAATTTTTTTTTCAGAGACAAGTGCCTGCCAGTGCATATGGACATAACATGAAAGACTCAAAGCCTCATTTCTTTTGTCTGGTTACTTGAATAAAGCCAAAGTGTGTTATACAATATGTTGGACAAACAGGACGGGATTTTTGTAGACGAACATAGGAACATCTATACCGCTTCCGAAAACCTAAGAAATTCAAAAGTATAATTTACCAACATTTAGGAAATTCTGCTGTTTGTTTTTACATATATAATACGAAATAATAGGTGGTTCTATAATATCAAAATAGGGAGGTATGAAGTTTTTAATGCATGGTAGAGTCTCTAAATATACTAGATAAGTTGATAAAATCAATACCTTTAACTATTTTTGGAGTGTAAAAATAAAATTTGATGTTTTAGATAAATTACGTACTTTTAATTTGATGGTCCTTTTGATTCCGCTGACAGTTTATTGACTCTTTACACTTCTTCCACTCAAACAAAAGTTTTCCTTTTTAATTAAATGGTCGTTTAAAAAATCCAATTGCAAATATATTGGCTGCAACTCTTTAAAAGCCTTCTTTTCTAATGAGAAAGGTAAATATACTGGATAAACTAACTGGAGGTATGATGAGATGATTGAGGCGGTTAATTTTCTCCTTGATAACATTTATGTACGTTTCGGCAATAAAGTGTATCGACAGGTTTCAGGTATGCCTAAGGGCACCAATTGCGCCCCTTTCATAGCAGACTTGTTCCTGTACTGTTATGAATCACACTTTATGACCAAACTTAGTAAAGACCGGTCTAAATTGCATTCAATTGATAAATTCAACAAAACTTATCGTTATCTTGATGAATTTTTTCGTCAAATAATAAAAAAAAAATCTAAATATACTGCTGATATTTACCCAAAGGAGCTTAATTCAAATAAATCAAATATAAACGGTAATAATTGTCCTTTCCTAGATTAAGATATTTCAGTTTTTCATGGCAAACTCTATACTAAAATTAAGACAAAAGAAACGATTTTTTTTAATCTATTGTTAATTTTCCTTTTTTGGATGGTGATATGTTCCTTTGGCACCATCTTACGGTGTTTATATATCGCAACTCGTTCGCTATGTCCGTGTCTGTACTAACGTTTTTGGATTTCAATTAACGTAATCCATGTATTACTGGTAAATTACGAGGGATTCCGTAAAAAATGTAATATAAGTTTATTTAAAATCTTTCCCTGTATTATATAAAGAATTCAAGAAATTTGTTTTGCTTCAATATATGAGGGTATGGATGGAGTTTACAATATGGAGAATAACGGTAAAAAAAGTGCAGAATAAAGGACAGAAAATATAAAGAATAGAGAAAAATAGGCCAAAAAAAAAATACAGAATAAGAATAATGGGGTGCTAAAATTATTAAATATAAGGAATAGAAAATGATAAAAAATTATAAAGAATAGAGAACGATAAAAAATTATAAAGAATAAAGAATAATGGACAAAATTTATAAAGAATAGACAACAATGGCTTAAACAATTAAAGAATACAGAATTGAAGGACGCCCCATTGAGACCCCCATATATAGACATTTCTAAGAGTTATCCAGAGACAAAACTTGTGAATTAATTTATATATGTAGGACTTAAATCTATGGTGGGTTCCAGATCTATGGCAGATTCCTAATCTATGGTAAATATGACGTCATGCCATCCCCAATCTATGGCAGATTTTTTAAAATCCTAATCTATGGCAAGTTTTGTAATTTCCAAATCTATGGCGGATTTTTGTTGTTTCCAAATCTATGGCAGATTTTGTGCAAATGTAGAGCAAGGCAGTACATATACAATCACTGACTTGTCTTAAATAAGTTGAAATGTACGACAACCATGACAACGGGAGCATGTCTATAAACATTTGTGAAATAAAAATTCCATAATGGTCAATCAAATCGTGATGTCAACCATAAAAAAGTGTAGAAGTGATATACCATAATACAGAAATCGGGATTAAAATTATCTTCCCCGGAAAAATAAGCATTTCCTAATCTGTGCATAGTACCTGTTTAATCCATTAATTAAAACAACTAGAAAAATGGAAGTCTCTTAACAAACAAGAAAGCAGTTTTTTTTATAAAAAAAACAATTTAAACAGTTTGACTTTTCACATAATATTTATTTCAGCGTTAATCAATCTTTTTTAACTGGTGACGATTTAAGTCAAGGTGGTATCCTGTAATTTCATTTTCTCACTTTAAATACTTTGCCAGTCGTAGACGCTAAAATATTTACTATATCTCCATTCCCAAAATATCCATTACTAAAACAGCTGTGCCTTTCTTGATCGCGGGATTCGGACGGTACAATAATTGGTGTCCCTCCTATGGATAAAAGATCACATCTTCATTTAAACCATCGGCAAATTGTTCTACAGGGAAA